GCAGTATTAAAGAACATTTACCAAGGACTCTTTAACCTTCAATGCTCTTCACAGCTTGTACTTCTGGAATAATAACCAGAGATGTGCACTGAAGTATTTGCAGGTGCCATTTCTGTGGCCAGTGGATCAGACTAACGAAGAAGAAAACCTCCTGTGGGTGTGAGTGACATCCCTGGACTCCTGCTTTTCTTTTCCTGCTTTCAGACTTTGCTTGGCCTGAAAATGATGGCAGTTTTAGTGCTGGTGAAAGGCTCAGCTGACAGCCCTGTGAAAGACAATCAGTTCATCCTCTAAGGAACCCTGAGAGCCACACAAAGGAAGAGCCACTCCGATTCTTTGCTGTTGCAGACGTGCTGATGGCACACAAGGTGGTGCAGATCAGACCATCCAGCTTCTTCAGTGGCCTTGTTAAAGATGCTCCTGCTGGCAGCAGCAGGTGCCAGCAGGGTATGGTGTGGACACGAGATGTTAATTCTTTCAAATTAGAGACAGCTCTCTTTCAAAGGCATTTTGGTGGCATGCAGGTTTGCTTGAGCAGGTTCTGCTATAGGATGAGGGTAAGAAAGATCCAAGTAATTTGCTCCATACCTTCTCCAGCTGCCTGCTTTCTGGTTTAGAGACTCTAAACTTGGCTCAAGAAGGCTTTAGGGCACATCAGTTTAGTGATTTTAGGTAAGTGACAAAAAAAAAGGGCTACAGGGCCTTTAGTTAGGCATTTAGCTGGCAGCAGCAGCAGCAGCAAAGCATCTGTAGATGCTGGTCTGCAGCATGGGACACCCATCTTCCACCTTCTCTCTGTTTAGCTTCTGAGAATCTCTTTTATGTTTGACTGCTTTTTTCCACCTGCATTTTTGCTTCTCCTGACTGCTATGCATCCTATTTTATTATTTCCTATTAGTGTCTGTTGTACCTCTATACTTGGGTTGTTTGGTTCATTTTACACTTCAGATTAATGCCCAAAACTGTAAGAAGAATAAATTTATGGCTGATTTTTACCAGCCATAGTGCTTGCTGTTCATTTTAGATATGTAATTTCCCCTGCCCTTTGTTTAGTCTATTTAGACTTAGCTTTTCAGAGAGTTTTAATTTCTACTTGTGCAAGAGCTCCCTATATATCCTATATATCCCTAGTCCAGTGTTAGCTGTGTTCCCCAGGTTTGTGTTAGTAATCAAGATGTTAGGATATTTGCCATACTATGAAAATCTTCATAATTTCCAAATTTTTAACAGATTTGAAGACTTTGTATGTGTAAAGCACATCACAGAGGTCACAACAGGGAGGGAAAAACTTCTCAGTCTAAAGCCTGGGAGAGATGAGGGGAGAAATTATGAGTAATCTTGCAGTTTTCCTAAATTACAGGCACATGTGCTTGATGCCCTTTCCCCAGCTCACTGTGTACAAATAGGAAATTACTTCTAACTCTGAAGATCTGTGATACCTGATAAAAATACAAGAAGCTCTATTCCTCCCTAATCTAGTTGCTTCCAGTCCTCTCTTTATTTTTTTTTTTTTTTGTAAAAAAGACCTTTTCCCAGGTTTCTGTGCATCTCCTGAAGCTCTGTGAGATGGCACAAGTGAAACACCCCATCACATAAGAAGCAGTGAAACAGTCCCAAAGAGACCCTAACAACGGCCTAACAAAAAGGCATCACCCAACTCTGAAGGTAAAGCTGGACTGGGAGCACTTCTGTTACTACTCACATATATTTCTTTTGTCCTTGGTATCCAAGAGGATGAGAAAGTTCCAGAGGAGAAGAAGGAATTTTCTGTCACCTTCTTCCAGTACAATTTTTGTAGTAGGCATCTGTATAACTGTCATAGAGGACTGAAATATTGTTTGTGCTTGTGGCAGGCAGAACACATGAGCATTTAAACACCACTTGCTTTTTCATGTCCCCGTGGTTTTATATCTCTGCAGTGTGGGCTGTCCCTGTGTGCACATTGCTGCAACAGAACCTAGGCCCAGTAAATTCAGAATAAAAATGAAGCAGAGGGAAAGGAAGTGTGGTCACACAACTGGGAAAAGTTGAGTATAGAAATACTCCATAAAGAAGATACTATGAGAACTAGAATATTCACCTTTAGAGAAAAGCAAAGCTCCTCTGTGTATATGATCTTAACTGTGCTCTTTTATGGTTCTCCTCTTAACGTTGCTATCCACTTCCCAGATTCTCATACAATTAAAATTAGCCTCTGTACAAGATGGTTTACATCAACACCCACTGCTGAAGTACCCTCGATTCAGTCAAGCCATGTTCTTCCCACTGTTAACTTCCAAATACTGCCCATATTGTCAGTATTTTCACTGTATTAGTCTGTGATCTCACCAGTGCTCAGTAAGTGTTTGCAGGAAGAGAAACAGGGAATGCTTTGTGGGGGGGTTAAAGTGATATAGATGGAAAAGAGAGGCAGACAACATGCTTTTTAGTGATAAAATTTAGATAGCTCAAGGAGATTGTGCAAAACCAGTATTATAATTTACCTGAGAACAAAAACCCAATTTACTGCTTTCAATTTACAGGCAGAATTATTTTTTCCCCAAGATTAAAAATGTTGATGTAGTTTTGGAAAATCCTGATCAGCACAAGTACAGAAAACCATATTAGAAGACCTATTGTAAAGCAGTGAAGCAGCCCATCTTGTTTCATTATGCAAGCCAAATGAAACACAGAAATTAAGCCAAGAGCGGGAAAACAACTAAGACTTAAAACTGTGTTGGGAATACTCCAAAGACTCATTAACAGATGAAAAAGTATGATTATCTTATTAGGAGTACTACCACCCATACAGAAGCTCTGATCAAAACAATAATTAAACCACCAATAACAATCTCCCTGCATCATTAAATACTTTTGTACAAATAAATTAACTCTGCCAGCCAGAAACATCAAATGGAGATAATTTACCTCAATCAGTTAAATAAGTCCAAATACTCAGAAAGCCTCTTGCATTCTTACCTGGGAATCTGCTATCATTCTTCTTCCAAAAAAAGCTTTTAAATAAATGATTTTGACAGCATTCCTATACATTTTTGTATTTACTCCACCACAGATAAATCAATGAACCATGTGGCTTGAGATAACAACCTGTCCCTCTGCCAGTGGTGAAAACTGATTCTCTTCCAACTAGCACATGCAGCTGGGCAGGAATATTTATTTCTGAGCAAAGTAAATGGACACTCAAGTGCAATTGTTGATATGCAGAATCTGGCAACAAATCAATACTGACTTTAAATACCCAATTTATGCCATTACTTTTTAATACCCATGAATCTTGTTAAAATCCCATAGCATGATGTCCTGAAGTGACACAGCCTGCTTAATTTCTTCTGGTTTGTGGGTTTATCGAATTTGAGGCTTTAAGAATCCTGTTATTGGTGAGTGTTGGTTTCTAGCTTTTCTCTTTTACTGCCTTCCTTTGAAATATCTCTGGAGCTCTTATATCTTCAATTTGATTTTTTTTCCTGTGTCTGAGAAGAGTGCAGGTCTGAATTTGGCAGGTATGTATTACTGCCTTGACCTTACAGAGGCAACCACTACTGATATCTGGGGTTTTAGGGGCAGATACACTGCCTTTATTTATGCTCCTTTAAGCAATCTAAAGAAGTGTAAATATATTAGACAATTTTCCAGATCATTCAAAACTGAATTCTTGAGCTAGATATATAGCAGTGCTCATGTATATGTACCATGTTGTAGTATAATTATCCAAAATCCAAGATCAGGATGAATAAAATTTCCTAGGTTTCCTAGGTCAGACTCAAAATTTGGACAAATACGATACAGAAAGAAACCAGGGGCTGAAATTCCTATAAAGCAAAAACTAACCTTTCCACTTGCACTGCCAAGAATGGGTCAGGGCTAAGATTTATCAGCAAAGCAGCACTTGGGGGGAACTTCAGCCACTCCTGCCCATGCTGGACCTGCTTCGGGGAAAGCAGAGTAGTGTAAAATCAGGATTTCTGGAAGCTTTTACTAGCAGAAAGCTCAAGAGGGTGTAAAATTACTGTTTTGAAATAGATTGGATCCAAGAAGCTTGTGTTACCATGAAGACTTAATATGTATTTTTAGGAGCACCCCACAAGACAAGTTCAGCCTGTTCATGAAGTGAGAAGACAGGAAACCCCACTGGAAGAACAGAGGAGAAAGAAACTTTGTTTTCTGGTCTTCTAAACTCTACACCATCTTTGACTAACTACTTTTTCGCCTTGATTTGTGAATGTATTAAGTGGCTGAACAGGTTTACATGTTTATTCATTTTCTCCCTTAATTTAAGAGAAGTTGTACAACACATCTAACTGTACTGCCCTAGGGAAAATGCAGGCTGTGTCCCACAAGAGATGCAGCGATCAGCACACAGAACACCTGTATTGTACCTGGGTTCCTTAGGTAATTAGACCCAATTTTTGAGCACTTGTAATGTGCATAATACGGTGAGAGTCAGACCTCTTGCTCACTGGTGTAACACAATTATTGCTGCACTATCAGAAAGCAGGCCAGGCTCTGGAAGTGTCACTGAACACTTAAGTATTTTGGGGCTTATTTTGTGTTCTTTTGTTTCATCTTTAAGGAACTATCTCTGAGGAGAAGATAGTAAACCAGGAGGACTGGTCTGATCCATTCTAACAAACCCAATATTCCTAAATCATGCTCTTTAGTTTCCCAAATTAACTTACCTCACGGTTTCCCCTTTGTGCCTGAAAAGATTTATCGTTTTTATTCAACCTGAAAATCTGCTGGCATTAGATATATTAGGATACCCAGAGGTGGTTCTTTTGTCATCCTATCACTGCAGAGGGAAGATAGCAAAATAAATCAATAAAAACAATGTCTTGGCTGATGCTTGGGGAAACCAATCTGTGGTTGAATATATAGCTCAGGAGCAGACTGCCCTATGCACAGGCAGCACTAGGTACCGTGGCTTCCACTCACTGGAGATCTCAAATAAGGATTCTAGGTTTTATTTAGTGTTTTCCCAGCACTCAAGTTTCTAATTCTGTGTTCTCTTTAAAATAACAATGTCTTATCGGTTTTTGTTTGTTTCAGATACACACCAGAGTGAGGGTTATTTTGTCACAAGGACAGGTTTTCTTTCTTTGACTTGAGCACTGCTGCAGCAAGAGCCTGATATAAAGCTGGTTTTCAGTTGCCACTATCTGAGGCTTGTTTTCAAAGACTATATGCAAATCATGCCAGTGCTGCCTTCTGCACTTCCTCCATTTTATTTTCTATTGAGACTGAATGTGAAGAGCTGCAGTCTATTTAGAACACCATGGTTCTTGCAGCAAAAAAACCAAAGCTATTTCCAAAAGTGGAATTTCTTAGAATCAGTGTATTCTCTTCTTCTTATAATAGAAATGAGTATGAGCATTCTGAGCCTTTAGTTATCCTCTCAGGTCTGAGAAGATGTGAGGAGAAGCAGAGTGGGTATGGAAAGAAAAGCAGTTGATTAGTAAATCCATTTAAGGATTTAATCCTTTGTTAAGGAAGCAGCATCGAGACTGCTGGTGTGAAGTGAAATGCAAGAGAAACAAGTAGCAATTTACCCTGTAGCTGCATTCTCCAAATCACTTTCCCCTGGGGATGTAGTGGACATCAGCAGGCACAGGCAGCTCCTGCAGGGAACAGCCTCTGTTGAACTTGAACCCCGAGACCCCCCAGCCCCAGAGCACACAGGGCAAGGGCTGAGGCACTGCCCACCCTGGACAGAACCATGGCACATGCCCTACACAGGCACTCGTGCTTGTTGTCCTGGACTATGGGGGTCTTCTGGAATTCAGATTAGTGGCTCGGAACTCCAGCTACCCCGGGAAGGAATGCAGCAATGCCTGTCAGGATCTGTGCCCTCAGAAGAACAGTGCTTTGTCCTACTCTTGCCATGGATTTCATACTTGAAGCCATGGATAACTGAAAACTCATAAAGATGTAACTGAAACCATTTAACAATCAAAGCCATTGAAGGGCCTCTACTGGGAAACACGGCTTTGGTTTTCTGGTGTCCTATTAAGGGAAGACTGGCACTGTGTGCTTTGCAGATCTGGGTGATGAATTTCTATTTTTTAGCTTCAATACAGCGTGCAAGTGCAGATCCAAAATGTGAAATACAGAAGGGACAAACAACGGCTGTTTCCTTACAGGCTCTCATGCCTACTATACAGAATATTTTTTACCTTGTCAATCAAATATAGGAGGCATTCAGTGGAGGTAATCACACGATAGAAGCAGGCCTGTTTTCCAGAGCTTTTAGGTTTGAATTCCCCTTACTGCAGAGCCAGGTGTCCCATGTTTCTGTTGCAGGAGTGAAGCTCTGTCTATCAAGGAAAGCATTTGTTAATTGCTTCAAAAAAAACCAAACTGGAGTGAATAAACATTTAACTAAATAGCTAAAACATTCATAAGGTGACCTGCGTAATTTTCAGCACTCAGCTGCAGCACAAGATGCTCGTGTAGCAAGAAGAGCCATGCCAGATGTTAGGTAGGAACCTGCTTGTTTCCTCTGTGGTAGGATGGTTTTGACTCAGTGATAATTGTGCAGAGCCCTTGCTGAGGCAGAACAAGCCTCCTCAGCATATCTGAGACTCCTTGAGCATCAGAGTCTTTGTGCTTTGTTTGCATCCAGCCTGAATGCTCAGGAAACCTTGCAGTGGATTCAGGAGCCAAGACTTGGTCACCTCATTTATGAGAAACAGAGCCAATGCACTTATGCAATTACTATTTTGAAGGAGGAAAAATACTTTAAAAATACTTATTTTTTCTGTGTGTGTGTGTACATTCATTGCCTGCTGCATCAAGAAATAGTGTGGGGGATTGATCAACACAATTACTCAGTCAAGACTTAGATTTGCTCTTCTGTGTCTCCCGTGCAGTCCGATTTCCGGGGTGTTTCGGGGTTTTTTGTTCAAAAACTGGACAGCAGAGGGTGCCAAACCCCAAGAGGGAGCGCAGCCAGGCCAGGAACGCTCCGGCATTCCCTGAATTCCCCGCTGGAAGCTCCGGCTGCGATCGGCAGAGCCGCGCGTTCCCTCTCGCCGGGAGCTGCTGCGGGCTTTGGATGTGTCAGCACTTCCAGCCCCGTTCAAAACCTCTTTCTTTGTGGATCAATCCAGGCTCTTGCGAGCCAAGTTATTTTCTCTCTGATGTGCAACTGGCACTCAATGTTATCTCAGGAATCTTTTGTTATCAGGATGTTGCAGGGACGACTCTCTAAATTAAAAGCAAGCACTTGATCATAGAGAGCTGAGCACAAACACTTCCCCACCTTTAACACGTGCTACAAATATGACACAGCTATTGAGGAACCAAACCTGTTTAACCTGACATGGTTCACGCACATCTTTTTACTTTGGACAAGGGAACGAGATTAAAACATCAGCAGCTCTGAAATCCCACTCTCATCCTACAGTGAATTATGAAATGAAGTGGTGTTATATTAGCAGGCATTTCTTCCTGTTCTAGTAAGAAAGATATGCGTTCTACATTTTCTGCAAATACTGTTCATGGGAATGAGATGGAAATAGATCCTTGAGTAATAACTAGTTACAATAGCTCCTAAACAAGCCTAAAAATTATTATGATTGTATTTAGGAGCCAAAACACAAAGCCTCTATTTTTTTCAGATTCCTGTTCTTTGCTGGAGTAAAAAATTGCTCTGCTTGGTCCAGGCAACATTTCTCTTTTTACTTTCTTGCCAGTCCCTGTCCTGAGGATGAGCACTGTCAGGTGGCCAATTTTACTGCTCACATACCTGATACACATCACTGGCCCATTATTTCTACACAGGAACGGGATCCATCATTCCTAACTCAAAACTGTGCAGATAACAATTGATAATTTGTAAACAGTTATTCCCTTTGAATGAGTTATGTAGGCTCTGTTTACTTAATCCAGCTATTTGTCAGCTTTATCAGTCACTTATCAACAGAAGCAGAAAGCAGGGCACACATAACCCATCCATCATCCCTCCTGTTGCTGCAACACACACAATATATATTGCACATGCCACAGCACTGGTGAAATAGCTCACAACACTACACTGCCAGCACTACTCAGTATAAGAGTTACTTTCTCAATGCCAAAAACTTTGTGGGATGTTTCACGCAGAGGAGTAATGTTTCCACTCAGCCCCAACTCTTGGGCCTAACAAACCAAATGATTGCACAAGTGTGGCAGGAGGGTGGGCAGGGGTCTCAGCTGGACTGGGAGCACCCAACACTCTATGCAGCAATGAATGAGAATATTTTATAAATGTGGAAAAGAGCAGAAGATTCAGCTCAAGAGCCCCCGTGGTTCCTCAGGATGTACAATATTTAATTGTACTACACGAAGTTTGTATAACAAAGCACCCACAGGACTCAGTTACCCCTGTCCCCTCTTCCCTACCTCACACTTCACCCTGTGCATTTATTTTTACCTCTGAAATGTCCCCCCCTTGTCCTCTCTGGCAGGGCCTGGCCTGGCTTCATCCAGCCCAGGTGCTTCTGTCACAGCTTCAATCAAAACAAAATTGTCGTGGGCCTTTAATAAAAAGACTTAGTGGAAAACCAATGTTAGAAAAACCCCAGCTTGCCCTTGTCCAGCAGTAAATAATTCACCACTGTGAAAAAGCCACACACCACCTGCCTTATGCAAACCCAGGGCATTGGGCTCAGCACACAAACAGTAAAACACCAGCAAAGAGGCACTGGTGCTCTGTAACCTTTTAAATAAAGTCTGGCAGGGAGATGGAGATTTAGAAGAGCTTTGGAAAAATAAGCCCTTTCTCTCAGGTCTTTACAGGGAAGGTGGAAAGCTGTTGTAAGGATTTCAGATGTATTATGGTATGAAAACATTTTTGCTTGGAAAAAACCCTCAATAGCACGTTTTAAAAAGTTATCATTTTGTAGTTCTCACAAATTTACTACTGTGATATTTGCTCTTTATTCCCTCCCATGATGTTCCTTTGTTCCTCTGTTTCACTTGGGAAGGAAAGTTGTGTGGGTTACTACTGTGACTGGCAATTTCCTTTCCAAGGGAAAACTTCTGCTATGTTTCAGTCCAAGAATCTACATGCCCTCTTTAAGATGAAAAAAAATTAAAGCTTACAAATAATTTAATAACGTCTTCAAATTTAGATAAATCACAAATTTAATATATAAAAATGAAAGAATAAAAATAAGCTAGTTATGGCATAGAAGCTGACAGGCTGAATTGGTTCAGCTCATTTTTCACTAGTAGCCCCACATTGAATTAGGAAAGGGGAATCTTGCAAATCTCCCTGGGATTTGTGACTCTCAGGAGCCCAACTTTGAGTAGCCAGAACCTCTTTAAAAAAAAAACTTTCAGGCCACTGTCAAAGGGATTGTGGATCAATGTTAAAAATCAGTTAATGTGGCCATGCAGTCACTGATCCTTAGCTCAGTTCAGATACTTGTGAATTCTGCAGTGTGGATGAGCCCTTTGGTGAGCTTCATACATTAAGAGAATCCATTACTTTTTTGCTGATTTATTTTATAATGGCTCATTTACATGCACTAAGAAACGATATTTTTATACTAGTTAGAAAGGCACAGATTGCCTCTCTGCAGTCATACAACTTTTCAATTTTAGACAAGATCTTTAAAAAATTGACAGTATTATGAACTTCCAAGAGGCTTTTCAAAGTCACTCAGGTTTTTAAAATCTATTACAGTTATTTTTTCTGTCGTATTCCAAAGGTTTATATTTTTGGACTCACGGTACTAACAAATCCTGTTATATACGTTGAGCAATATGAAAAATAGGACACTAATGTTTTAAAGTCTCTAAAACATTCCTCAAATTGACTGTAAAATGTGGCATTTCTACAATACACAATTGTTTGGCAGGATATAAAAGCTTACTGGTTCTCATTTGGGTGATTTGCATAACTTGTTCATGGCATCATTTGCAAATATTATACCCATCCCAAGCTGCCACTGATAAAAAGAGTAAGATTGCTTTTGCCAAAGCATGTCATAATATAGATGAGGAAAAAACCCTTCCTGTCTAAAAAGAAGGAAGTTATACAAAGCGAGTTAAAATTTTATACTGCATTAATCTCAGAAATCACTTCTCATGTCTGTTAGAGAACATAAAAGTGTAAAAAAATTTCCTTTCACTGTGCAGAGTGGTTCAACAAGTGTTGGACAGGCCAAGGAGCAGTGGCTGCTGCTGAGGAGGCATTTGCTGAGGGCAGGGCTCACACCAGCATCCAGAGAACCCCTTGGCCTGTGCATCAGAGAGCCTGGGCTGGGCTGAGAATGGGCTTCTGCTCCCAGGGTGAGCAGAGTGAACAATTCTGTTTCAGCACACAGATGACAATTCAGTTTGCCCACTGACCTGTGCTGACTCCTCAATACTAACAAAACCAAAGCACTGCAACAAATCTATTTCACCCAAAGACACTCAATACAGAGGGAAAGCTCATTTTACTTAGCAAGGCAGGACAACTTCCATACAATCATTTTAGAGCTTGATTTTATATTCATGACTGGTCTAGAAGGTGGCAATTTTGACTCATGCTACCGAGTTGCCTGTGCTTGCTTAGGAAAGGCCTTTGAGAGATGCTGTATTTCTTGTGGATGAAGGCTGTGGGGAAATGATGCTGTCTGTGGGGGCTCTGTCACAGCCACCACACAGATGGATTTCTGGAAAGCATGTGTATTTGTTTGCCTTCACAACCAAGAATATGGCATTGTGGCTGTTTTGTGACCACCCTGATAAAGAGCTCAGATGAATATTTTTGTGAAGTTATTTAGTGGGATGGAAGAAGAGTAACTGGGATGCAGAGGGTTACCATGTCTGTTTCTCAGGGTTTTAAACTCACTGTTGGCAGCTGTGCCAACATTCTTGTGCTAATTTTTATGCAATTAGTTGAATTGGCTGTTGTAAACTTTAAGGTAACACACACCAGGCCCTGAGAGCTGGTGACATCTGTAGGTGTGAGGGTACCACTGTAACAAGGCACCATTTACCCATGATCTGTAACTGAGCTCTGAAGTTACCATTGTGCTGCTGAGCAGGGATGGTAATACACTGCTCAGCCCCACTAAACCTGACAGCTGGCCTAACTAAAGTGTTTGTCTCCTCCACAATGACCACAGCACAGCAAATATCTCAAAAAGATGCTCTGGCTTCTGAAATCAGTGACATTTAATGGCTTGCTTTGGATACTGCTTTTCCCCCACACCTTGTATTTTTATACTTCCTAAATTTAACAAACTGTCAATAAATGGCTTTTTTTTCAATCAGACCTTAAAGCAGGAAAAAGATATTGTAAACAAGCAGCCAAGGCAAAGGAATCCCCAGGGAAAACACTTGGTGTTATTTCCTGCAGTGAATCTTTGCCTGCCAGGTTGAATTTGGGAAAAAAGATAGAAAACAAAGTTAGAATTCGTCTTTATCATGAAAGACAACAAACAAGGGTAGGTTACTAATTACATTTCTAAGGTGAAATAGACTCTACTGCTTTAGTATAGAGATGCCAGTAATAACCTCAGGTACAGAGCAGTGCTGGCACTTCAGTAGATATAGCAAATGAAAAGTATTATAGATTGTGTTCTTCTCATCTCAGCTGCAACAAGATTCAAAGACAATTTCAAGCCCTTAAAGCCACAGTGTTTTGCCAAAGTGGGATGGGAAATGCTTCTAGGAACATAATACTGGATATACCTTTCTTATTTGCTACACAGCAAGATTAACTCAGGTAACGAATTTATACTGATGAGTGGAGTTCAAGGTCAGGGATTTTTGAAAGCCATCTCACCATCTGGGCAATAAAGCTTGGAAGTATGTAAAAAAAATCTACTTTTTAAGTAAGTGTTCTAATCAATAATGCTACACTGGAGTGTAGAAGGTGCAATTAACCTGGTTCTTGGAGCTCTGTATGGCTGATTTTTACGTCAAGAAAAGCTTTTCTTTAAAAGCTGTGGAGAAGATGAAGCTTTGTGAGAGTATGAAATAAGGCAAGATAAGGATTTTTATTTTAGCATTTGCTTTGAATTCAAGTTCCTGGTCCGCTGATCTTAAAGAGGAAATTGAACCCAAGACGTTCACTTTAGAAACCAGCAGCTGGTTATTCAGGAGGTTGATCCAACTCTCTAGGTTTAATCAGAATCAGATCCACAAAATTATTCTTAAAAGTCTTCCCACAAACACTTTGCTTTGATGAGCCCATATTCTTAATGAAAAGTCAGGGTATAAAAATGCTTCTGAATGCTCTTTCTCTAGATTATACAAATAAAGTTACTTCATGATCCACACTTAATTACTGCTACACATGCAGATCAGCACTGGGTCCAGAAGACTCTCAGAACAAAATTAAAACTAGATGAGGGAATAAGCAGCTAAAGAGTGGCTCTGTTAAGGGAACTTGAACAAAACCAAGCAGCAGAAAAGCACAGAAGCAGCAGTGCCACAGCACGGTCTGTGCTGTGCCTTTCTGACCTGGTTCAAACAGAACATGAGAGGTCACTGCAGCAGCCACACAGAGCAGAGGTGATCCAGACACAGGCATTTCCCAAAGCACAGCTTCTGTGTGCTGCAGCCAGCTCAGCTCTTGGAGCCTCACTTGGGATTAGTCCTTCACCAAGCTTGGGAATGAGAGCCAGCAGCAGGAAGGAATACCAACCTGAACCTTCTCCAGCAGCTCAGGAGGGTGCAGCTTTCAAGAGAGCCCTGAGCCTTGTCACAGAGCCTCTGGAAAGAAAGACCTAGAAGAGTTAGTCACTGATAGCAAAGCCCCTGCATGTAGGTGCAAAGCCTGAGCTTGGATCACAACAAATTGCCATGATTATTCACAGGGCTTGACTGCAAACGTGGCAGATAAAAGAGAGTAAAGCCAACTGAAGCTGTTGGTGACCTGGACTGGCTGATAGCACACAGCATTACTTAGTAAACAATGTCATGCCACAGAAATGAAGGGTCAATATTCAGTAAAACTAGAAAAATTCTGGTCATAGCTCATAGTGGTTAGCAGGCATTGCAGTGGCACACACACATATCCTAAAAAAGCCCAAAACACCACCCTCCACACAGTTTCTTCCCAGAAAAACTTACCCTAAACAGGCAGCTGGGAGCAGATCCGTCCCCAGAGTTAAGGTGCCCAGTTTGCTGGGGGCTGCCAGTGTAACTCAGCGTCCATGACATGAAAAGCAAGGCTGGCCAGGTGGAATGAGTGATGAGATGATCGTGGCTTCAGCACAGACCCATGGTCCTGTGTCTGAGAGAGATTCAAAGCACCTTGAGCCATTCCCAAGGAGCCAGTGTGGACCTTTTGTTTGATTAAATCTCCCTCTGCACCAAGGATTAGGTAAAAAGGCAGCAGCTGGAAATCAATAGATGGCACCAACAGCAGGAGGAAGATAAACATAAATTGCACCTGCAGAAAGATAGTGATGTGCATGTGTTAATCCTCCTCCAGTATATAAATCCAGGAGCTATTGCAATTATCATGTTGAGCAAGGAAAAACAAAAAATGTAATGGCAGAAGCAGCTTGAGAATGTGCTATGTGCTACAACGAGATTTTTTTGAGGAGTGCCTCACTTTCATTTTATTCTTTCTGAACTTAGAATGGTTTCTGGTTATTTAAACTCCACTGGACAGAATGGAACCTTAAATTAAGGGAGAAGGAAGCACAGCATCACAGCTGATGCCCTCCCATCTTAAATCAGCTGCAAACACTGTTTTTGTAATGCTCCTCAGTGCTCACTAACCTTTGGGCTAACTGAGGGACCCCATAAATTGGTGAGCTGTGCTGTGGATGAAAGGAGAGGGATTAATTCTTTGAGCAGGACAGAGATTCCCTGCAGATCTGTCGTGACAGAGCATCTCAAAGCCCTGGTCACAACACTTTGTTGAAGGACAACACAATTTGATTTTTCTTTTAAAAAAAACTTCCTTCTTACCATCAAAATAGTTTGAAACAACAAAAGAAGCTATAAACATGTGAAAACCAGGCTGGAAGGTCCGATTTCAGCACAGCAATAGTTGCTATCCTGACAATTGTAACACTATAGGTTGTATTTTTATTATATTTGATTTTTCTATTCTTAAAGGACTGACCAGAAAATAAACCTTGACATAGCCAAAATGGGATGGTACTAATGAAGCACCCAAGAGAACACCACACTGCTCCTCTGTGCGAGCAGTAAATGATTGGTAATTAAATAGTTGTCAGTGGGGGGTGCCTGATGTATTTTTATTAATTTTTGTGTCTGTAACATCCATGCTCCTGAGTGATCAGCTAAGGTAGGTTATGTGGCATTTGAAGCTGGATTTCCTGAGGTGAAAACCTAATAACCTGGCAGAGCACAGCACTAGGAAGTGCTTTGACCTGTTCGTTTTCTCGTGGTGGGGGCACAATTAATTTCTGGTCTGGAAGGGCTGAGTGACATTTACAGGCAGCACAGACACCTGCTTTAGAGCAGGGATTTCTTTCTGTTCCTATAAAGTGCAATACACAGTTCAGCTAATATCAGATAAATAAGGTCTATAGAAAAGGTTGCAGCTGCTTAATGGTCTCGAGATTTTTTTTTTTTTCCTTTGACAGCAGAAAACGAACGTACCTGGTACAAAAAGGGTTTGGTTTGGGGATTTTCTCAGGTGAGAGTGTAGTGCAGTACAAATAAGTTTTACAGATAAATGCCATAATATTTTACACTGAAATCCTGAGATTAACTGAGCCCAGCCCGTAGGATGCACAGTTAAGGAGGGAATATTTAAAACAAAATCTTGTATTTTCGTTTTGTTTTATTACTGCTTAGCAGAAGGCATAGAATGATCCAAGAGAACAAAATGGGCACACACTATTTTAAAGACTTTAAGCTGTTAAGTAACCTGATTTGAAGGGAAGATTGCAGAAGACAGGCTGCCTTTTAAAGGAAAATACCAAATATTAACACAGCAGCAAGTAAGAAGAGATTTTGATGATTTGCCCAATATTCTCAACACGAATCCCAGAACAGCCTGGGTTGGAAGGGATCTTTGAAGATCCTCCAGTTCTGACCACAGGCAGGGACATCTTTCACTAGACCAGGTTGGTGAAACAACAGCTCTTGTTGCACTCAAAGTAACACTTGATGAAAAAGGACTTGTAATCGCTCCAGGAACAGGAGCAGAAACACAGGCAGGGGTGACACACGTCAGGAATCCCTTGAGCACTGTGGCAAGTCTGGTGGGCTTTGTTAGAAATGTCAAAGGGAATATTCAGCACATGGCCCTTGACACAAAAGCTCTACTGATATCCTGCTTTTCCAACAAAAAGAGAAAAACACAAAGCACCTTAAATTCAGGCTTTGTCAGTACTTCTCCAAGGAATGCCAAACTAGGTTTGTTCTTTCCCATGAGATGGGACACGGCTTCCATCTGTGTGATTGTTTTAATGGATTGAAGGGGTGGTTTTGCCCAGGTCCTGCTGCTGTGGCATCACTGGAGAGTGGCTGATGCTGTGAAGGATCGCCCTAGAGGAGTGGGCAGCTCTTCAGGAAGTCCTTTATACACAATACATTGCACTGTACCACTTAACAATCTAATATTCAACTACTAAAGCTGCCACATTTTCAACAGGTCCTTGGAGAAATGCAGGAATCCTATCAAAACTGCAGCCTTGTCACTCCTTGGAAATTTTCTGGCGTGTGGGAGTGCAGAGGGCACACCTTATACTGAAAATAAAATCAGCCATTTCCTTTGCCTGACAGCCAACTGGGCTGAATGGGATTCTAATTTAATCTGAGTACAGAGCAGGGCAGATCATAACACTGATAAATTATAATGGGGATCAACATGCAAGAGTAGTGCAGGTAGGACTTGCCTTGGAGAGTGACAACTTCAGGGGAAACTACAAGTGTCTAGAAAGAACTTTGCACACAGCTGTGGGTCAGTCCCACAGCAGAACAAATGAAAGCACACATGGATTTTAAAACTGCTCTGAAGTTCTTATGTACTGTACTGTACTCTGTCCAGCCCTACCTGAGCAGTCACATAATTTCTCAGAGGAGGTTGTTTCAAACAGAAAAGTGCACCTACATTTTTTAAAGCAGAGTAAGCTCCAAACTCACAGCAGAGAGAAAATGTGAGACTAGAACTCATCCAAAACCTTTTTTTTTTTTTGCTTCTCAGCTACTGTTTGCTCAGTGAACATGAGTGACTCCTGCCTGCAAGGCTTGGATGTGTGGACATCCCCTTCATGCACCCCTGAAAGCAGCCCAAGATGTTCCAGAAGAGTTGCTCTACACCTTCCACCATGTAAACCCTCTCCTGGAACTGATGCTGCAGGCAGACAAGTAGGATAAGCTGGAAGAAGATCCCTGCCACCACTGGGCCTCCTTGCCACACGAGGTTGTAAATGCATGAATATAAGGATACACAACTTCTGGGCAGGTTAATGGGAGAAAAGTTATTCAAAACAGGCACAATCACTGGTTTAGGAATTTTGCTGCAGATGATTGCAGACTGGGAGGTTTTTTTGGGTAGGACCACTGCATGCTTGCCCTGTCTCTATGCTCTTCACAGCATGTGCTGCAGGCCAGAGACAGATTATTACAGGAGTAAATGAGTATTTTCCTGACTTGATGGCTTATTATTTTCTGCAGTGATGGTAAATGTCCCTGTCCAAAGATCTCAGTGCTTTACAGTAAACATGTGGATGTGTTTTGCTTGCAGTGATGATTAGCTGACTCAGCTGCATAAATTAACCTCCCCAGGCAGCAAAGACAAGCTGAGTGCTGTGTGGGTACCCGAGAGGTTCAGTTCTGCTGGGCTGCTCAGGGAGGTCTAATTGTTAAACTTTAGCAAGGCATCTTTAATATATGTAAATAGGCTTTTTACAATGAGTAATGTTGCCAAATTTTCCAGATTGCTAGCATTGTCCTCCATTAAACTTGGAGGACAAATTCACAAATACATTATTAGGGGAGGCAGCAGCAATGTTAGTGAGTGAATCTGATGATGTTCTCAATCTTGGAAAACAAAGAAAGGATATTCTTGCTTCTTAGCAAGGTCAGTGTTATGTATTGTCAAACTGCTAGAAACAGCCCATGGTATTGTTTCAGCAGATTTAGTCAGAATACACAAAATTAACTACATCCCCAAAGAACACTATCATAAGGGCCAGAAGAAAATATTCCTGACAATAAAACTGAAATTATGTTGCTTACAGGACAATGCAAGAGATCCAGGTCAAAATTTCTCTCAAAAGAAATCTTTAGGTATGAAATATTGCAAAGACACACTTAAACCTACCACAAAAAGAAGAAAACATCAAAATTGCCACATTGCTAATGTAATTTATTCTAATCTGGAGATAAAATGTTCAACCATCTTAAACATGTTCTATGTGACTTCACAGGCAAAGTTACATTTCTTTAAATGCTGGAATTATGTATCTGAGAAGCCATCCTATATGGTCACTTCCCTTCAATTTTAAGTTGGTGAAAGATAAAAATGTAGAATAAACTTGTCTGTGGTAGATATTTGAATGGATAAAGCACTTTCAGTCAGTAGTGTGTGAAGAAAGCAGTTCTAGAAAATTAATGCTATGAGCATTAGCCAAAACAGATTTCGGATCTTCTTTCAACATTCCATTCATATTTCTTAATCTATTTAATATTTTATTCATGATTTGAAGTCAACCACAATACTTACCTAAATTGGAGTGTTGCTAACAGATGTTTTTAAAATCCTCATGAACTCTTTTTCAAGGTGGTATCAAGAACGTATTATTGAAAAATAGCTATTCTATAATCCTTGGGAAAGCTATTTAATAACTGCAATAATGCACTGAAATGTAATAACACACCCTATTGATCTGATTATCACCAGACAAACACACTCCTTGGCTGGCTGAATGTGCAGGCATAATGCACACACTGCAAGGAACTTGGTCTGAGTCTCTTTGTAACCTCAGAGGCTGTAAGGGGACAAGTCTCTTTCAATGATTGCCAAAATCACCTCCCTCTGGAACCTTTCATGAGCAACAACAACAGGACAACCTTGTATGAGCACCAGAACTGTCCCATTCAGGACACCTTTCACTTCAAATAAATGCTGGTCAACAAACCACCTAAAATTCAAGCTGGGCTACATGGTGGTAGAGGATTGAATTTCTGCTTTGTGGGATGGCAGAGCTGGAGGACCACCAAAGTCCACGGTGCAGAAGTGCCCCCTAGAAAGACCCCATGACAGGCAGGTAACTCATTCCTACTGCAGAATCCTGCAGAGTCCTGCTCTCCACAGAGAGCTGGGCAAAAACAAGGCCTTCAAGAAAGATCATGCTGATACAAATACTTCAGCAGAGGAACTTTATACTGAGTGAATAAAAATTTTTACCTGACAAGTCAAAAGTCTGGTCTAGCCATATTCTTAACCCCACTAACCAGGGGATGCCAGGGGTGAGCTGGTCCCAAGGAAGGAGTTTGGCAGAGTCCTCAAAGCAGACAGCTGTGTCAGCACAGAGTGATTGATGGGCTTTGGTTTTACAGCTACCAGTAAAGAAAGAAATGTTTGTATTCTGGCAGATTGTGCCATCTCAGTGCTCAGGGACAATCCAAATATTGGGATGTATCAGGAAAGAAACAGGGACATCCACAACACATCTGAATCTTGAGAGCCATGAGCTGATCTGGTCACCAGCTCTCTCAGGAAGGATTTACTAAGTGGAGAACATGTGAAGATGGGCAATAATCACAGTTATGGAATGGCTTCTGCTTGTTAAATGACTTCAGATAATTGAACTAGGGCTGCTAATGCTGGGGAGGATGTAGCTGCAGGGGGTTTGGTCACCCAGTGCCCAGCTCAGCTGTGGAGCCTGTTGCTGAGCTATTGCAGAGGCTAAATTGGAGGTGAGCTCAAACACAACTAGGCAAATCAACAGAAAAAAAATCACTAGGCAAATAAAGATACTGATACCATCTCTGACTCAGGAAAGCAGATCTGCAGCTACTTGAGCACAGGAGAATATTTCCAATGTTTCTGCATCCCTGCAATCCTCCCTGTGGCCCCTGCTGTCAGTCTCCAGTTGTAACAGGTACTGCTTTGGACGGGCTTTGTGTTACCTATTCTATCTGGTTTTATGTTCTCCCTGCAGCCTTTCTGCATAAAGCTCTACAGTCACATGCTGAAATATGCCTTTACTCAGTTGTTTTGCACCTGGAGAGTGGCAGAAAACCCAAGCACCAGGGAGGAAACTTCCCCCAGGCCCTTTGGCTGTATGTCAAAATGCTGATCCTCTTCCCTGCTCAAAAACCTGACAGCCCAGAGCCACACCAGGGGCAGGCTGCTGTGTGCACCCAATTTCCCCAGAAGAGCCCAGCAGTGCCTGCTGCACCTGCTGGAGCCCAGCATTCCAGGCTCTGACAGAGAGCAGCACGTCTGAGCCTGGCAGAGGGGAGTGAGGCTCAGGCAGCTGCAGCATATGGGCTGGTGTTCTGAATCTCTCCTACTAATTTGTACAGCAAACCTGCAATTTCTGTGGTAGCCATGGAAACTGAGGTACTGGAGCACAATGCAGCACATGTGTGAACACTGTGCCACCACGGAGTGTGCATCACTCAGCACTCCTCGACAGCAAGGGCAAACAGGATATCTGTGCCATCACAGCTTGGCTCTGGGCACGGGGTCTGCACCAGGCCAAACAGGTACAGAGCACAGCAGCTGTTCTGCTGGGAGCAGCGCTCAGGATACCTGCTGGAAGGCAAGGCCAGTGTCAAGGAAAACAACCCTGTCCACTCCAGAAGAAAAGAAAACCAAGGAATGGCTGGGAAGAAATGCCCCCTGGTGAACTGCACAAAAAATATAGAAATCTGCATCATTTTGTCTCCCTTCACATTGCTACTAATCTCAACACTCTTAAATGTTTGGGTAGCTGGCTTCTCAGCCAGTGAACTACAGAAGTCAATGGAGTCATCTCACCTGGAGTGACAAGTGAAAAGTACGCCTCTGCCAATCAATTTTCTTGTGAAAGAAGTGTCTGGAAGGTGGTGAAGGACCCTCACTCAATGTGCAGCATACAACTGTAAAGAACTGCAAATTAGGGAGGCTCAACCTGTAAAATAAAAAAAACCCAACAAACATAAACATTATTTCCTTCAGACAAGTTATCTGGAGCTCACTCTGCAGACCTTTTGCTAACCACTGTTATTGAGTGTTATAATTCTGCCCAGACTCATCAGGTGTGTTGGTTTGAGTGGGCTGTGCTGCTTAGGATTTTATTGACACAGATCAGGTTAGTCTGGCCAAAGGGATTTGAGGCAGACCTGAAAATGGAGATGGTGGCTTCTCAGGGTGGTTTACACCAAGGAACTTGAGCTGTACAGTCTGGATAAGAATTTCAACAGGGGAAAAAACACTGACAACCCTTCAAACAAGTTGGAGTAAAGCAAAAAAGCCCCCAACCTGTATTGCTTAAATACCGAGGCTGTGTACAAGTAAGTGACAAAGGGGCTTAAAACCAGGGCAAGGCACAAAAGATTCCTTGTAATTTCCAGCAGTTGCTTGGCTTGCAGCTGTAGGCAAGCTGACACAAAAGGTGTCTGACAGAGGGTGATGCAGGCTGAAATGCTGCTGGCTGAGCACAGAGGTAAGCAGGGAGCCAGCTCGAGGGTCAGCCCAGCACAGGCAGCTGTGCTCTGCACTCCCACCCCACAGCCTGCACCACTTGCTCTCCAACACAGCAATTAAGATTTCTAACATGAAGAGGTTCTTAACATTCACCAGGTGGAAGCTGAACACCGTGGTGGGGCTGTCACATCCCTGGCAGGGAACCCCTGCATCATAACTCCTAATTAGGGACCCCTGAGTTCACCCTTTTAATGGGTACAAGCCTTGTTACCTACTTAAATCCTGAAGATCAAAACATAAGAAAGAAACTGCTACGTGCTCAGTTTTCATTTTTACCTTTGAAAAGGAAAGATCTCTGACACAGCTGCCCACCTGTAAAATCTAAATCCTGGAGTCTGGATGTGACTTTTTTTAGGCTGTACCTGTTCTCTAGCCAGTATGTATCTATACATTAACTGAACCTGCAGCTAGGTGAGAGGTGAGGACCAAGCAGAATGGCTTCCATTTCACTTTTTTTTTTTTTTTGTACTTTGGGCTCCCTAACTAGTTCACAGATACCTTACAGGCTATCAGCCTCACCAGTTGCCTGGTATCTGCAGCTAAAGAGCACAGACACTGTGAAATTTGGGATGCCAGATTTGCAAACACAACAGCTCTGTGACTGGATGCTCTCTCCAGCCCAGCCTAGCGTGTTGGCTCCTGAAGGGGCCTGACTGGGGATTAATTTCACAGCCTTACAGAAGTGGTAAACTGGACACCAGGAGAGGAGAATGGATTACATGCATGAAATATCACAGTATTTCATATGGGATCCTCTATGTCACAACAGACTCCTCCAAACAACTTTACTTCTGCCAGCACTAATATTCCTAAACAATGTGAAATTTCAGAATTAAGACAAGATTTAAGTTTATAAAAATAACTGAAATGTTATTTATGTTCCAAACTCTGTTCACTTTACTTTTACCTTTCTTCCTCTCAAAACTCATTTAGCTGAACTTTTATGTCTCTGAGTACACTATTCACAATTTTTGGGAAGTTGAAGATTGTCCCATTTCCCCAGAAGCACTTTACCCACCAGCCCTTGTTTCCTGCCTGGCATTTCCAGAGACATGTAATATTAAACCACAGCAGAGAGGAGCAAAACATTGCCATGGGTTACAAAAGAGACACTGAAATTGGATGAGCCAAATTCTCAGCTCTGCCAAAGGGACAAGGCTCTACAGGAAAAACTACAGTAAATATTCCCAGGCAGTTGAAGAAGAAAAATGGGCATTTAGTTCACTGCAGAGGGAAGAATCACAGGTTAATTCTGCTCTGAACTTCACAGAAGCAAAAGAGATCATGGATCTTTGTTAATCTGCTCCTTTACAGCTTCAATGCTGTGGGGCTGTGGCAGGAGGGATGTGCTTAGTGATAGCCAGGTTACTCAGAAAAGCAGTGGTGGGAGGGAATTACATTGAAAACAAGCTCCTAATTGCTGTTGCTTTTCTGCTGAGAATCATGCAGTGCTCATGTGCACGTTAAGGTTCAGATTTTAGCAAATGCACAGCCCCATTGCAAATGTCCCATAATTTCTAAAGTGGAATAAATAATTTCCAGTGAATAACTCAGTTGCATTCTGCTATGAAGCTCATACAGATCACTGTCCTCAAATTATTCCTGGTCAATTAAACTTCACAAGTTTGACTTTACAAGCTGTGAATATTTGAAATTTGAGCTGCTGCTCGGGGGTGATATCGATTCTCTTCTCTCTTTGGTTGAGTGCACAAGCTTGTCTATGAACACTTACATTTAACAACTGAAAATTCATCTTTTGCAAATACACAGGTGTAACTGAAATTTGTTGCCTTCATAAAATTTGGCTACTAAAATTCAATTACTGAAGTTAGGACTTAATTTGATTGTAGTCTTGTGTTACAGAAGCACCTAGAGTAAAGTCCAGCCAAGGTTAAGGTACTCTGGGTACTACTAAAGCACTTTGTGTCTTGCAAATAAATGTCCTAGAACCACATAAACATTTAAGAAATGGCAATAAGTTTATACACAAAAGAAATCTCAGGAATTTGGGGTAGTTGCACTTCTTCATATATTTTATGGCTACTGAATAGTCACAGAACAATTTTGCATACCTTGGGAGACTAATAAATTACAGTGCACGACACAAACTCTCTACACAAAAGTCTGTTACAGAGTTTGCAGCAGTAATTCAAGCCTCTGCTTAAGCAGTCTCAGCCTTCACGAATGAGAACAATATTTTGTTATTTTAGGTAACCAATCAGGCATTTTTAACAGAAAATGTGAGCTCAAATGAAATGCAGCTGACCAGACTGAGATATTCAGTGAGTACTCTGGTAGTGAGGCTGCAGCAGTGAGAAGCAGATTAGCTAAGGGGCGTAGGGAAGCAGCCCAGGTGGCATCAGCAGTACCTGGCTGCAGCAGGAGGATGTCCTGGGCTTGTGGCCAGCAGGTTGGACCTGCAGCACCTCAGGAAAGCACAGAGCTGGTACAAGGTCAGGTGAGCAGCTCAGCAGGGATTGCTTTGTGGCAGACACCAAGCCACAGCTCTTGCTGCATCTCTGGTTGTCTCAGTTGAAGGCAGGAGGTTTTCAGGGTCCCCCTCTGGCACCAGGGTAGGGATGAAGATGCAGCCAGGAGCAATGAGCAGCCCATGCTGTCACTCCTTTGTTACCACTGGAGTGTTCCTCAGTCTGGAAGTTTCTGGGTTTGGAGACAAATTTGCAAAAGGCATTATGTACAATGGGAATGTAAGGTTAGACCTCTTGGCGTGTTTTCTTTGTTATTCCCTTTCTCTAAATACAAAGCTTTAGTCTTTATAAACCCCTCCTTGTTTATTCAGAATTAAGAGGTTTGGAGTTATGAATGCAGCTGTTTCTGTCCTTCTTAGCTTTCCAATGCCCTCAGAAATTGGCCACTTGGATAGACTACTTAATATGGACCATTCATAAGCTTAAAAATATGATTTTGAGAGGAACAAACACCGAGGTTTGGACAAAGAAATTGATTTGGAAGATGTGAAATCTATTTTCTTTATTTAGATTCCTTCACTAGATGGTGAGTGGGAGAGGCAAACAGGCCTGGAGGTACACTAGGAAAGAGATCTCTTTAAACAACAGGGTCTTTTTGCTTGCTCAAGTGGCAGCTCAGTTATCATGCACTTGGTTTTGACAACAGTGAAATTTTAGAGCACTGAGACCTGACTTATTGGGAAAACAAAGCAAGAAGGAACCCAACGATGGAAACAGGATATGAACTGTACAATCTGGTGACCTGGCTCTGACAACCAAAACAGCTTCCCTGTCACATGGCCTTGACCCCATTTGGGCAGTGCCCCTAACCCAGCTGTGCTGCTCTCCTGTGCCCCCCCGATGGCACCTGTACTCACACAGCCCCACTGCCATCTCTTCTTATTAAATTCACCAGATAGCCAAAACTCCTCTGCCCTTTGGAAGATATTGCCTCCTATTAACCTAATTAAAGAAACATCTGGCAACCTTTAGAAGTTCAGATATGTCCTGTTCGATTTACTGCATGAAGGGAAGGGGATCAGGACTGGGAGACTGGAAAGAAATACTTGGATCAAACTTGACAACTGCAAAGCTCTGCTATTAACACTGTGTCTGAGCAGCTCTGGTGGCTCTAAATTAATGAGATAATTAAAAATTTTGTATTCATTAGCATCTCCTATCTCTTTTTCTCCAAACTACCTAGGCCACTGCTCAGCACTCCTTGGTGGATATACAAAAACTAAGCAGCTCCTTTACTGTACAAAATCATCCACGTGCATTTAATGCCACATCCAAATTTCTGGATCCTGGCCTCTGCAGTGATTGAGCACAACGAGTTTATGGGAATGGAGGCCCTATTACAAAGGAGACAGCAGCTCAGAAGTGCTGCCTGCACCTGATCTGGAGGGTGAGCCCCTGCCAGTGCAGCTGCAAAGGAGATTTCTGCAGAAGAAGGCTTTCTGTTTGAGAATTGGATTAGAAACCACCAGGCCATACAACCCTGTGTGCATACACCTCTGCTGGAAATACCTCTGCTGTTTCAAATACAAGGTTCTGTAGTTAGTGAAACCCTCTGCCTTTACCTCCTGATTTAATAATTTTTAATAGTTATTAGTAAGGGAAGCTTTACCAACAATTTGGGCCCTTTAGTATTTTATCATTTTTCCCTAAATTCACTTGTTATTCAGATTCACACAGCCCTGCAGTTACCACACTGAAAGCCCATAAAATCTTGCACAGGTTCCCACAAATGTGATCTTTGTGATGTTTCCCCCTCCTCTGTCACGATACTGAAGGTGCTCAGCTTTTAAATATTTTCCCTGTTTGGTCTGGGAGTTGTAAAGTTAACCTCCTGACTCCTTCATACTTAACTTGCTTATTTTTTAGTTTCCCACTTGAATGAGAAGCTTTTGCACATACCAGTGCAAAGAATAAAGATAGGAAAAGAAGTTACACTTTAATTAAAAAAAAATATCATAGTACATTGCCTGCAGAGGAGCTGCTGTTCAAACAAAGCTGGGTGACAAGATGCCAGCAGATGCTCCATCTTCATACCTGAGCAGGAGAATGATTTACTCAGAGATCCTCCCCTAAATTCCCAGCCTGAAGGACTCTTTTCCCTCTGAAATTCAAATACAGCCTTCTAGTCTGCACTGTAGCAGATTGTGGTATTTGTAGTCATCAGGATTAAAATATTCCAGGATTTTTTTCCTAATTCATTAGGAGATATTTTCTTCCTAATTTGAGGAACAAAGGAAGTTGATAATACACATTCTCTAAACCACAGCCACAGAACTTTGGAAAGAATTTGTGCAGCAATAAAGTTGACAAGAGCAGCAACTTTGCTGTGGTCATAGATGAACTGTCCTGATGTGTGACAGAGATTCACTTAAGAGAAAGCCTGACCAGGCATGAGCTAAGTACAGATCACACATCTCAGAAATTGAAATCACATCCTATTTTTGTACAAAAAGTAATTAACTTCTGGTACCTTCATTTTCAAATCCTGAGTTTGGAACCCCTGTGGGCCCAATTTTGAAGTACTGAGCAACGGCCCATAGAAATATCACTTCATTATGTCATAGGTTGGGAACTTAAAAGATATTTTGGAGAAGTTAATCAATAAAGATATACCAGCCATTAGACCAAGAAGACATTATTCTAGCTGAGACATCAGCTTATGTCTTTCTCCCCATGAAGAATTAGCAATTTTATTTAAGTGCATCATGAAGAGAGATTCTCTGTAACTGGAAGAAAGAGGGTTGGACTTTGTTACACTGGGATGAGTCTAAGAAGAGCTCCTCTCAATTCACCAAATAAACTATAGCCAAGATTTATAATGAAACAGGAGATGTGGCAGATGGTGGTGCTCATGGAGTAACATGGTCCTATCTGCATTTTCTCCCACTGAAAGGAAGCATTCAACAATTTTTAAAAAAGAAGGCTCCTGGCAATGGATTTGGAAACTTCTTTGAATAATCCATTTAATACAGGAGAAACAAGAATTATTTCCAAACTGGGATTTGACATTTACACTAGCAAGAACAATATCTCTAATAATACTGAGGAGTTTGAAGACACAAGATCTGTTAATATTTCCATTTCAGTACACAAACTTGTCATCAACTAGGGGTAAAGAAATCACACCACACTTAATTAAACAAATTAGGGAAAGGGTACAAGTGGAAAGAGAAAAGGGGAGAGGACAGGAAAAGGATCATTCTTCTTTTCCCTGAGTCCATCCATCACTGGTTGCAGTTAGCAACAAAAAGTCAAATTAGCACCAGTGGTCTGTTCAGACCTGACAATTTCTGTATTTCTAGTTTAAATTAGAGTAGAATCAATGGGAGTTTTGCAAAGATAAGTTAAAGGCAAAGCTTACATGGCACAGTGTTCAATCTGCCTGGGAAGACAAGGTTTAGCCTTGCAAGAGTCATTAAGGTTAATGGAATCTATACTGATGTGACGGGGAGATGCTCTATTTTCATTACACCAGAAAGCAGCTCTGATTCACTGTGCTTAGAGCTAATTGACAGTTTCCAAATCACATGGCAGTAATTGTTTAGAGTTTTAGAAAGGGAGTATATTGTTTTCACTGCTGGTTTATTTGATACATTTATCCACTTAATCCCTGTCACTTAATTTTCTTTGATAAGTGAAAATAAAAAATAATTTAACCGGAGTATCCTTTGACACTTACTTTTCAGCTAAGAAACTGGTTTGCTTTTCAACCAGGAATTCAGGTCAGGGGAAGAGCTTGAACACAGCTGCCTCTTCCTTCTGAGAATGATCAGCCAGCTCACCTAGCCCTTTGATTTAGTTTGTACAAATCTGAAGCATGTTCAGAAAACTGAAAGATGCGTTCAGAGTGCCACAAGCCTTCTTACTAACAAAACCACAGCACTCACTCAGCCTCCTGCACATCTGACTCATCTCCTCTACCTCCTCGTCCTGCTCCTCAGAGCCCAGCTCCCAGCAGTCTCTGTTTGCTGTGCTCCCATCCCTGCTCTCCTTGAAGGAGTCTGGTGCTGCCTTGCTGAGCTTTGGAACACCCTGCACACACAGCAGAACCCATTCTGAGCAGCTCTTCAAGCAAGGACAGGCTGATGGGGCACTTGGAGGAGGGGGTGGGTGAAAAGCACCCCAAGATCCCGTGTGGCTGAGGTTGGTGAGAGAAGAGCTCAGGAACAAGCCCAGCTTCCATGGGGTGTGGGACCAGGAGGGCTTTTGTCCAGTCACTCCGTGCCTGGGCAGAGCAGCAGCTCCAGGAGAACACGGGGCAGTGCTGCTCATTAGGTCTCTAACAAACTTCAAACCCCGGCAGTTTGAAACCATTCTGCCAAGAACTATTCTCCTTCAAGCCTCCCAGCTTCTGCCAGGCTCAGGCAGGACATTTTGCAGCGTGGTCCTGCCTGCAGCTTTCCACACAGGGCCCAGAAATGCTTCCAGCAGCCTGTCCCTTTGGAAAGCTCTCCCAGACAGGCACATCCAGAGTTGGCTCGAAGTGCCCTGCTCCATGGAGGTTTGCTAATGTGATCTGGAGATCGTGCTGACAGCATTCTCTTGCTGAGGGATTGCCTCATCAGGGTGGGCTGGTCCAGGGGCTTCCACAGGGACACACACTTAATGAAGTGCACTTTCTGCAAGAGAAGCACAGGGCAGGCATTCACCTCCAGAACAAATGGCCAGGTGATTACAGAAATAAAAGACAGAATAAAAGAAAGGAAGGGAAGAAAGGAAGAAAAAAAAATCTATTTATACATTAATAGCCCTGAGTGACAGAGAATAAGACTGAGGTAGTTTGGCAAGGCTGTGGTAGGTATGTGAACATCCCTAATACAGAAAGCAATATTTAAAAAATATATAGACACTACCATCTATAGAGTCAAGTATATTTATTTATCTAGTACAAAATCAGGTTCTCCTGTGAAACAGAATTAATTCTGCATGAACTAAATAAAGAGCAAATATGTTGTAAGCTCTCTGAGTAACCCTGGCTACTTCATGGTATGTAAAAGTGACCATTCTGATACTTGATGTCTTTTATAACTTCTGCTATTGAGGATGGCAGCATGTGATGTTACCCCTGCTGAATCAGGTATTTCATGCTGTAATAAATCCCTTCTAGAGTCAGCTTGTCTAAATCGAAAGACAAAGGTGTAAAATCAAGTGCATACAGTCAGGTCTGTTAACTACTGCCCTATTATGTCTAGGATGAAATATTAAGAAAACACTAAATTGTCAGATACTGGAAGTTAAAAAATGAACAGAGTACCATGGCCAAGGCACCAAATTCAGTGAGAGCTGCTGAAGGTGATTAGTTTAGGGGGAGACATTAGACTCAATTCTACAAAAAAGACAGCCCAGAAGGTGTTCCAGTAGCATCTGTAATGGCAGTGAAGCAGTTAAGAGAAGCAGTGCTGAAGAACAAAGTTAATTCTGCTTCTAAATCTGTGAGTTAAGGGGTTGTCTGTTTGCACAAGAGGTCTCTGAAGCATCTGTACACACTTCCTCCAGCTACTGCTTTATGAATCCTGCAATTTTCTCTCCACATGAGGCTGCAAACCTCTGTAATTCACAGTCTTTCCCTGCATGTGCGAGTTCAGCAACTTCTCCTCTCTTAGAGTGAGTGATGGAATTTGCCAGGGAAATTCAGCACAGAATTGCTTCTTCCAAACACAGGCATTTTCAGATTCTGTTTTAAAGCAGTAATGGAGATGGTAGCAGGCCCAAATCATTTCAGGACTTTACAAAATCAATATCTTGTGGCCACATTCCCACAGCTGCAGTTTGACTGTATGTCCCTGGCCAAGGCTGTCCTTTAACGCTGAGTTGTTTGTTGTTTTAGGATGCCTGAATCAATGAATCTTTCAGAAGGCTCTAATGTATGAAACTTTTAAAAATGTAAACTCATTTGGTTTCAGTGCCCAGCACTGACAATAACTTCCTTCCTCTGACAATGGTTCTCACATAATCTTTTATCTGAGTCACTTAACAAAGAACAGGGTGATTAAACACATCCTCTGTATCTCCCACCACATCACATCTCTCAGCTGAGATTACTCAGTCAGGCATTATTGTACTGCCCTAAGCAGGCAGTACTGAAAGGTATTTCACACTGTCAGGTTGCTTCTTTTTTAATAAAAACTTTTATTGTTATGTAAATGGAGCATTTGTTTACCCTTCCCTAACACATTTTCCTTCCTGTTCCCATTTAGTTGAGCGCTGCCAATTTTAGTTGTGGCTGGTTTTAAAATGTTGAAATATCTGGTATCTGTCAGCAAAACTCCCACTGGTTACAGAAATCATTATTTGGTCTGGTTGAAATGGTGGTGTTGGGTCACAGGTTGGACTCAACGATCTCAGAGGTCTTTTCCAGCCTAATTGATTTTGTGATTTCTGTGAGGTTTCAATCAGTGCTGTTCTCTGCCTTCCTAAGGTTCCAGGTATAACCTGTACATTTACAGAAGGTTTTGGGGTCTTTGATTCTGTCCTACACTAAAATACAGCCACCTGCTGGCAATTAGACCTGTCAATAATTACTGGAGCTGAGTGAAATGGGGAGATGTAAACAGAGGTTTGTAGCCACCTCCTCTGTCACAGCAAAGCAACACGAGTGGCAGTGCCCTCCTGTCAGGAATCAGCTGTTTCACTCGGTTTCATGGCTGGCTGAGCCCCAGGCTCTGCTCCCAGAGCTGCAGAGGGCTCCCAACAGGGTGATCCCCACAGGAGCAGTTCAAGATATATAAACACAGCTGTTTGCAAGTGCTGCACACAGGAGGGAAAACTGGAATTCAGATTCTTCTCATGTGTACTCTCAGCACAGCCCTCCCAGTCACCAGCAGGGCTAACCTGAGTGCTCTAATTTCAGATGGAAAGGTAAGAACAGCTCCAAATCATGATTTCTTGTCAACTGAAACACAGCTTTGAGCTAACTGCTCAATGGTAGATTTAAATTCAAAAAGTGAAGCCATGGCCAGACCCTTCACTTTTAGGAGTGATTCTGTCAGGGGTTAAACAAATCTGCTGGTAAAAGAAATAGCTGCAGATTTTCATACTGTTTTGCCAGCTACTCAGGGGTTTACTGGAGCTGTCCAATGCCCAGATACAAACAAGAGACTTTGCATCGTTCATCTTTTTTCCCAATGACTTTTCTCTCTCTCTCTCTGGCCCAAGATTTGTTAATCCTGTGTTGCTCAACACATGTGTGAGATCTGCAGTGGCTGCTGAGCATTTCAGCAGCTCATTCTCCTCCCAAACCATGTAAAGCTTTCCAAGCTTGAGCAATTCTCAAAATTCATCTCAGGTCTGGCTGAACACAATGTGTCACATTTTCATTCTGACACCAGCAGATGCCTGGCCCTGTTGCACCACCAGCTGAAACTGCTTTTCTGAGTAAAGTTTCACTCTGCATTTCCAGAGGTGAAGACCCAAGGAGATTCTTAGAGTGCAAATACGTAAGTTAAGAGTCTACAGGCAGCCTCTGATGGGTTTTGCACAGCTCCAGCAGGCCCTGATGTTTAATGTTTTCACTGTCATCACCCAAAAGAACTTGCATTGCAAATTACAGCTAATCCAATGCAAATGCAGAGTGCGTGCATGGATCATGTCTCATGTTTGTAAGCAAAATACAGACTGCAGGGACTTCTATAACCTTGGGCAAAAAGTGTGTGCATGACATGCTGCACCTGCCTCTGAGGCAATGGCCATGATCTAACTCAGCAATCTGAACTGGGCACTGTGAGCACTGTGGGAAGGAGCAAAACTCCTTTTTGTGTGAAGCTCTTCCATAAATCCTCTTCGATTCCATCCTCTGGGAAGGGAGTACCTCCAAGACAATTTGCTTACACTGCTCTGTCAGCAAGACTCTCCAGTGTGGTTATGGAAATTTCAACTTCCAATCAATAAAACAGGAGTAAGACCTGCTTATCTTTGGAAAAGAAGGAACTAAAAAGCAAATCGTACTGTACTCAACTAAATAAAGGTATTTGTGTTGGATCTCATGTAAATGCCAGCAGCAACAACAAATGGGCACAGAAATAAAGGAGGTGAGCATTTTTATAATTTCTTAAGCTATTTCTGATACACTACACTGATACTTTTGCTGACAACTTCTCTAACAGGCTGAGAAAAAGATGACTGAAACCCCACAGTGACAGCTGAGACATCAGAGTTGGCACAATTTGGTTGATGAAGGTTGCAAGGCTACATCATGCATCTGACTCATGGTCTGTAATCCTTCCTATGCATGTAAGGAAATTCTTTGGGGCTTTCTCCCAGCACAGCTCACCTGTGCAGCCACAAAACACAGGAAGCAGTGACTCAAACTGGCACCATTTTAGAGAGAAGGATGTATGTACTGAAAAGGCAATCAGATAATCAGTGTGAAAACGACTCCTGTAAGACTTTCAATCAATTCTATCTACCCTTTTCCTCTAATCATACTGGCCTTTGTTTAAAACTCTTTCTTCCCAGAATGTACAGCTTCTACACAAAATAAATACTTACCTTTCCTTGTATCCACCCTCTAAAATACATTACACCAATTAATAACAGGCCATTTGCCCCTCTAACCATGCAAAGAACAATTTTATAGTAGCTTTAAACCTAAGTTTTGGGGAAAACCTGGAATGTTTACACAAAATTCTGCAAAAAAATCGTCTGTATATTTAGTGCTACCTCTTGAACAGCTCATCCAAACCTGAAAATGCAGGTAACTGGAGAATCTTCTCAGCCTGGAAAGCAGCAACCACACTCCTGGAAGGCTCAGATTCCTGCATGGTGGGACTTGCATCAGCTTTGCTTGGGTTCACTGATGGAGCCCAGTCAGGCAGGTCCCAAGAGTTTTGGTTATTGTTTCATTCCTGTTTCAAGGCTGGCTGAGATTTTTAAAACAAGGAAACAATGAAGAGGACACATTTAGATGCAAATACTTGCATTCATATATACATTTGCACGTTTGTACAAAAGCAGTTGTTTCCTGCATGAAATCAAAGCCTTGTAAACAGATATTGAATATTATCATAGGGAGAAATACTTCAAAGGAAAGCTTACAAACACAGCTGATGTCAGTTGAAATTGATATTCAACACCTAGGAGATGTTATTTTTCAGGTAGTGTTGAGAAAGAAATTCCATCTCCTTTAAACAAAAGGTTTAAACCACTCCTCATCAGAAATCCTGCACTAAGAAACATTCAGCATGAGTATTTTTAGACCCAAGCACTTTGACCCTCCCTCCCTAACTGATATGTAATTCCTGTGGATTAATAGCCACCATAAATGAAAGAGGACCATATAGGGTCTGCAGGCAGCTAATGCTCCATATGTACTTCCCCCCCCTCTCCTCTGTAGCCCTCTCTGCTTTGAACACGGTTTTTGTTCCTGCTCTGTGAGCCTTTGGCACCAAAGCATTGCTGTACAGTTGTTCACTGAGCTTGGCATGGCCACACTGATTATATTAAACCTCTTACAATTTACAAAGTGTTTGGACTCATTTGGTCTATCCATTTCTGCTGCCCAACGAAAGAACTGAAGAGAATTAAACAATTTTTTAAAACAAATAGGACTTGACAGCAGAGACACAGATTTTTGTGAATGGCAAAAGGTGCCTAATTAAGAGCTCTAGGGATGATGAGCCTTTCATTTCTCTAATGAAAAGGAGCTCTGTAGCTTCCAAGTGCTATCCAGCTCCAGCAGAATGGATCTCTTCTCCAGGGAGAAAAAGACAATTAATTTTTCCTTTTCACTTAGTTACTGTTACTCCTTCGGCCTTCTGTGTGAAACTTGGGTAAAAGCTTTCAGGTGACAGTAATTTTCAAATGCTCAAAGGTACCTGGAACGGATGTTTTCAATTTCCAGGCAGCACAGAGTGACATTTCTAAAATAAAACTTGCTCACCACGTCCCCTACCGACTTGCCTTAAATACCTGGTATTTTTCTCAAAAAAAAGCAAAAGACCCCAGTTCTTTACTGTGTGTGTTCTCATCATAATGGCAACACCAGGGCTGGATATAAATAAATCTGATTAGCCAAGAACACTGGTTTCCCTACTCTCTTTCATTATAAAAATATACAGAACTTAAAATAAAAAGTTAACAGGCAGGGTTGCATCAACTCTTGCACTATGAGGAAACCAGCACGGAGGTGGTTTCAACAATAAAGCTTGCTCTGAACACGGCTGCTCACTGAATGTCCCCCAAGGGGAAAGGACAGGGTGTTTCCACATCTGATTACTCCTTGTAGGATTAAACCGGGCTTGCTTAATCCTCACCCGCAGTGTGCCTCTGCCTACAAAGCCCATTTGAGTCATTTAGAGGATGCTAAAACTGAAGAAAGAGCCCTTAAAGCAGCAGCTTTACTTGTTGTGTTTTGTGGGGTTTTGTTTTGTTCTGTTTTTCAAATAAAGAAACTGGTGCCTGTGTAAACTGGGGAGGGCTTGGGGATGCTCTGGCCCACAGTCCCAGTCCTGTGCAGCTGCAATTATTGTGTTTGTGGGGGGCTTTGGGCAGGTGCCAGGAAGAAGCCAAACTGCTGAGTTTCCACGGTCTTTGCAGTACTTAAACTTTCTGGAAATTGCAATAACACCAGCATCCAAATCGACCCCGTGGTCTGCAGAAAGAATTTTATTGTACTCTTGCTTGAGCAGCAGAACCCTGGGGACAATATTATTTACAGTGCCTGGATGAGGCTGGACTGTTTCTTAGCCCAAGAGAGCACTTTGATGTGCCTTCCTCAAGTTATTCATACCCTTTTTGAAGAGGCTGCTCTTTAATCCTCCATCATTCCTTGTGATACTCTGTTGTCTCAATTATTTTGCTCTGAAATGAGATTAATGCATAACAGCAGGACCCCCCTTGTGTCCTGAAGGTTCTTTGGATCAATGAGGTGCCTCTGGCACTGTTTCCCCAGGAACAGCCCTGCAGGAACCCACAGCAACACCTCCAGTGTGGCTGCACCCACGCTAAACCAGATGTGGCCGAGGAAACCTGGAGCAGAGTTTAAAATGCTTTCATTCCTCAGAAAACCATGATTTAGTGACAATTTGGGACAGTCCCACATCTTCAGCAGCATCCGAGTTCGACTTTCCTACAAGGAAAGGACCTTGCTCTGATGTAAATCCTTGTGAAAAAGCATCCCAAAGAGCCCGGTGGCCACCGTGGCAGCAACAGCCAGCCAGCCTCAGGCAGGGGACAAACAGGGCAGAGCCTGATACAGAATATTTTTGTGCTACGGACACCTCAGTCCGTGCAGGTGATAACTATGGGCAGTTTGTCCACTGCAGCCATAGCAAAGGGGCCTCCCAAAAAAACCCCTCCTACACCTCTCCAGAGAGCCTGGCATGGTGAGCACACACCGTGCCTGGGCTTTCAGTCTGACCTTATTCATCAGCCAAGAGACAAATGTCTCACTTGTGCCTAACACTGAGAAGCAAGGAATAAAAGCAAGTGGGAGAAAAAAGCATTTCCCCCCGATTTAGGCAGCACAGCTGCTGAGGCTGCAAACCCAAGCACAGAGAGGACACACATGGAAGCTCAGAGAGAGTCTGTGCACAATGGTGGATGCTCTGCATCCAAATAGGCACAGAATGGCAACTTCTGACAGCAATGCTCTCCTCTCAGAGCCCAGGTCATAGAAAACAGAGTATAGCTCAGTACCCACCTACTTACAAAGTATTAGAGGCAATGAACTTAAACAAAGCATCTTGTTTTTCCTGGCAAACAAACAGGAAAGTCATTTTAACTAAAGTGGCTTAAGTGAAACATGAGGAGCTGCTGCCAGCAATCCAATTTGGACTTTGCTTTTTTTCTTTTAGTTCATAACCTTTTGAATGTACCCACTCACTGAGGATAACTTTCTGCTGAGTGGGACTGTTTATTCCACCAGCAGTCTTTAAAGTTCAGTGGGGAAATTTTCTCTTTCTTCCCATTCTCTCTAAGATAAAAATAGTCAGATGGGTGGAAATTTTATAAAAAGGAAGAGGACAGGTTTGCTTACTCAGGTACTTACTCACTCCCCAATCTGAGTTATCCTACACATACCATTGTTACCAAAAATTAAAGACAAAGGAACCTCCTTGTAATTCCATTCAGCATATAAATTCGTACTTAACTGGATAGAAACAGTGGCAAATTAATTATATCACCCCCAAAAATTCACAAAGCTTAAGAATTTTCATTTTGTGAGCTCAGAATAGAATCACAGAACGATTTGTGTTGTAAAAGGCCTTAAAGACAATCTAGTTCCAATCCCTTTGCCATGGGCAGGGATCCCACTCACACATCTGCTTGGACTGAGGGTAAATAGAACTCAGAACTGCATTTCTAAAGTACAGCCTGACAACTGATGTTCCAAACCTTCCCAGAAAAGGCTAATTTTGAAGATCTCAGTAAATATGTACACTGTTAGGAATTTATTAGCAAGAAATAAACCAACCTGACTGTGTAGCCCAAGAATCCATTTCTTTCATGTCTTGGCTCTGAAACGTGGTCTGCAAAATAAAAATTATAGCCAGATTTTAATCTATACATGTAAATATTTGCACTTTTAAGTAGTGATTTGGAATTTTTGTAAAAGCCTCCAAAGTAAAAACGTTGGCTATAATTTTAGATAGTATTATTATAAGAATTCCTCATGCTGCTCTCAGAATACCAAAACCAAACTCAATTTGAAGTCCATCTTGAAGAATTTCAAAGTGTATTGAATGTTAAAAAATGGAAGCTTGAAAAGCTTGATAGTGCTGAAAAGGATTTTACTTGAGAGCAAGTAAAGCCATGGTCCATGGGGAAAATGAGGAGCAACCTCAACTCCCTCCTTTCAGGTTTCAGAGTATTCATCTCCAGTTGTGCTATCTGGAAATATTGATGAGACCTGCCAGTTTTTCAAATCTTTCATAGGTTAATCTCTGCTCTAACATAGAACAGATATTTTTGCATATTTTGGCAAAGAGTTGACTCATGTTTCAGTACTGATGACTCAATTCATGTTTCTCAGGCTGATTTAAATTGAAATCCCCAAGTTCTGTTTTGATTTTCAAAGGATTTTTTTCAAGACTAAGTCCAAAGGTTGTAAGCTAACACCATTTCCCAAACCATACAAATCACCCAGACCTTTTCTCCTTTAATTCCTGTGCATTCTGCCATCAAGCAACCTCCTCTAAGGAACTCTATGGAGTACCCTGGAACTTTTGAGCCTGAGGAGTTGTGGATGCATTCTGTGAACAATACATGGCAAGGTCTGACTTCTGTCTCTGAAGTAACCAGAACCTTTTAACTCTGGAAAGCATGAGCTTTAAAAAAGAAAGAGAAATCCCACAGCTCGCAGGTCATATAGGCAGGGACTAGCAGGTGCTCCCAGGAAAACCCAAAAATGACAAAAGGGAAAAAAAAAAACCCAGTGCAAAAAAAACCCCCAAACAACCTATTTGGTTTCTTCCAATATCACAGTGTTTACTTTAGGCTCAGCAGGAGTCTTGAGCCAAAATTAGAAGAGAAATCTCTTAGAACTTGTTTTTATGTTAAGCAGGTTACCTTTTCCTTCTTTATTCTCCCACACAGTCATTTGTAGATTTAAGACCACAGAAAGCTCTCAAAAGGCTGCAGAGTAATAGTTACTATTTATTTTCTTCTAACTGAAACTAAAGATTATGGCCTTGCCTCCAAGGGCAGCATTTTCTTTAGTTTTATATCCACACCCATTTGAACAATCGGCTTTCCAAACAATATTTCACTGAATTACAGGCCCTGAGTAATGCTGGAGTAAAATGAATGATTGTTAAACACTGGGCAGTGTTTTATTTTCTCCCTGGATTGCAGACATTGCTCACATGAGGGATTGTTTCAGATCTCCAGCTTCTGAGCCTGTCTGTCCACTCTTACCCCTGACAGATACCACATCCTCTGTGTTTACTCTCACAGTGAAAAACTTTGTGCAATACCATAAATTTGGGGATAGATCACCGTGCAGTTATTCACAAGGTCTGTGTTATGTGTGGGGTGTTGTAATGGTAAAAAGGAGTTGTACTGTTGCATTTGTTTTGTGCAGACATTTCATTATAGGCAGCCTTATACAAGGGCCACTCAGAATCTTTGTTTCTTGAGTGAATAAAATCCAGGCTTCTTCATCTTTCCAGACCCTCCTTTAAGATATTTGCAGACTGTGGCATTCAGCCTCACATACAGAGGTAGAAATTGGGCATCCAGAGGGGCTGAGCACAGCCTGTGGCTCAGGAGATTGTGACACGAAAATCTCTTTCATCCATCAGCTGTATTTCAGCATTCAGAAGGAGGAGCTGCTCTTGAAATGGAAAGCAAAAGTGCTTTTCCTTTAATTCTTTTCCAGGCATGGTTACACACACTCACACACAGAGGGCTGCAGGCAGAGCAGCAGTTGGAACTTCTCCCTGCACACATCAAAGCAGGGATTGAGGAAGCAGCTGATCATGACAGTAAATGGAGCAGATTGTCAAGGAAAACAAATATTTTGGACATTTCTAAAGCAGTACTTCATTCTGCATAGTCCTTGTTTGCTCCTTGCCCTTCTGTCCTGCTGTGTCAGAACATAAAACTTCCTCCAGCTCTCACCAAAACTTCAGAATCTTTATCAAAACCCAAACTTCCCCTCCAAGGCTTTTTCCTTTTCTCTGGAACTGTCATTTGTCATGAAAAGCAGAAAGCACCCAGCAAAGTCTGCAGTTCTGTAGGAACTCCCTTTCCCAGTGGAAAGAGCAGGTTTGAGCTGATCTTAAGCAATGCTTTTCTCTTGGCAGGGATCTGATATGCTATAAACTTACATTACTTGGGCTGCATTTCTGTCAATAGGAAGAGAGGAGAAAACGTTCTTCATGGCCACAGTTATCTTTTTCTGGGTAGAATTTCCAGAGCACAATCCACTTCTGAGTGCTCATCTCTTTAATGGATGTGTAGGGTTGCCCCATCCTAAGGGACTTTGATCTGTTCAGCACAGTCCAATCTCTCCAATCTGAGAAAGCAGTCGATTTTATGGTAAAATATAGAAGTGCAAAAATCTGAGATGATGATATTTTCTGCTTGTTCATGCTCCACTACTGACAGACTGAAACAGCAAAGGCAAAATCTTCCTTTGCAGATCACCCATCCTACAAATCAGGTGCAGCACCTACCTACAAAGTCCAGCAACATCCGTCTCCAAATGCATCTTGGGAACTAAGAAATGTGGTATTTTTCTCCTTTTTGTGCTATTTTTGTCTTCTAAGATGCAAAGGAACTCTCCAGATCTCGCTTCTAGCACTGCAACAAGCAGTGAATGGATAAACAGAGCAGGAACCACCCCAAATGCAGCCCCAGTTCCACAGGCTTGACAGCCCAGAGGGGATCTGTAGGGATCATTTCATGCCTTGATGCAGTGATGAACCTTTGAATGTTGACAATTAGTTGCAAACCTCATTAAAAATGGATCTATTCTTTAAGAACAGAAGGGTAGTGCCAGCTCCTGCCCCAGGTGTTTGGGCTGTGGGTGCTCCCCAGCAGCAGGGCTGGGTGCTGTGGTCTCACTGGTTCTCTCACTCTTTGTAGGGACAGGAAACCTCCCAGAAAACTGCCTCTCACTCAGCTCTGGGTTTGCTCAGCTCCTGCTGCAGCAGAATATAGCCCCAACCCCAGACACCAGCACAGTCTGGAGATACAAACCACTTAGAGTCTTAGCAGTGCTCACCAGGATTCCTATTTCTACTGCAGGAAGAATTATGGACTACATTTTGTACAGCAGTTAATCTAAGAATGCAATTCTGAATAACCTGATTTTGTATTTAAATAAACCAGCATTCTCCCTGCCAGTGATTCTTCTCCAATATAATGTAAATAACACTTTACACATTTCATTTTTATGGTCTCTCTGATTGTATCTTATACTTCCCTACAACAGCAGAAATTATTCATAAATAATAATACATTTTCTCAGTAAAAGGAGAACATTTATATTATTTTTTTCTTCCACTCTTTCAAACACCTTTACATTGTGTGACAATTACCCATTCACTGGACTCCTGCTGCTGGAACAATTTTATGATTTTATTTCCCTGGTCTCAGGCTCAGAGGGAAAGAAAGCCAGTGCAACATACAGAGATCTGTGAACTCACTTCTGCCAGTAGCCAGTAAAGACAAGAACCCTGTGCAAGGGGAATTGTGCCAACACAGGCTCCTTCCTAGGGAATGCTGAATGCACAGAGCAGCACAATTTCAGAAATTACTTTCCTGGCATTTCCACACAGAAACTATCTCCTTTCCATAGGCCATTATTGTGAATAATTATGAAATCTGAGGCAACTCTGAGCAGACCACACCTGAAAAGACTCTCTATCCCTTATATTCTATATGAGGACAGTGCCCAGGAATGTTCAGAGACAGATGTCACACAGAGGCCCCGAGTGTGGCAACATCAGGTGGCAGCTTCAGCACATCTAATTCTGTGTGAGCCAATGTCTTAGAGTTGCATGCAATTTTTTGTGCTAAAAAGCATAAAATGAACACAAAATTAGAAAGCACTGTGCTGTTAGTCCTCACCTCAGTAATCATTAACTTCTTTAAAATGCCCTAACAGCAAACAGACAGCATTCAATTTTAAGTGACCACACATTTTCCTATCAATGTACATAATGTTTTAAGAAGATATTACATTACAGCATGATAATAAATTGTGCTGAACGCTCCTCTTATCACTGCACAGAAATGCTTGCATGGATGCAAAAAAAAAAAAAAAAAAAAAACCAGACTTGAAAGCCAAAGCTTAACTACTGCAGGCAGGAGTGGAGAAGCCTGTAAGAATTCATAATAGAGGGACGTGGGAGACTCCAGGGCAGCCCAGCCTCCCAGGCAAGATGGAGAAATGGAATTTACCTGGCAGAAAATGGACACGTGGTGACCTTACAAAACACTTTGCTGACTCTTGGTGAGCCTCAAGTCAGCAGTGCTCAGAGAGCTGGGTCTCACCTAAGTGGTGGGCTCCTGACAGCATGTGCCAAATCCTCAAGATAAAGAGTTTTCTTTCCTCTCCATCTCTTGCTGCAGCAGCACCCCTCCAGCAGAAGAAAGCTAAAAAAAAAAGGAAAAAAAAAGAAAACATGCTATGCTATTAGTGTAGCTACAGAGACATTTATAAACCAGCACAGAAAAGGGAGCTGCTTTTGAAGCCTGTTGTCTCTTGCAGTCCTGCCAAGAATTGGAATCCGAAAACGCTGATCATATTTTTTCCACAAAGAAACCCCCCACTTGCCCCAGGCTCAGTGTCTTTCAAGGAAACCAAAATTTTCTACTGCCAATAACAGAGCTTACACCTAAAAATCAGAAGGGAAAAAGAAAAAAGGTTTTTTGGTCATGTGATGGACAACTTCACAGCACAAACCAAGCCCAAAGGAAAAGCTGCCTGGGTGGAAGGTCATCACTTTTCAGAAGGAACTAGGGCCGGTTTCAGGTGGTGTGCAGGAGTACAGACCAACCCCTGCAGCTCTTCCAGCTGTGTCCCTGCCCGGAGAAGCACCACGAGCTGCCTCCCACCCTGCCTGGCTGTGCTTGGTCCTCCCCGTGCACCTGTAAAGGCTGAACAAGGCAAAGGGACCAGGGCGTTAAAACAACTCCAGCAGCAGCTGGGCTGGATAAAAGCATGGAGGATGTTCTCACTTAGCTCAGGGTAAATCAGCAAAGCCTGCCCTGACTGAGTCTGTCGGGGTGAACAAGGCTGGAATCAAGCTGACAACGATTAGGACTCTCTCGCTATTTTTCTCCTCTGCTCCAGTTGTTTGTTCCCCGCCTGCTCCCTGCTTTTGACATGGCAAAAAATGTATTTGTTCACAGTCTCATGAATCCTTTCTTCTGAGCTTTCCTTGAAATGTTCAGATTTCAGATGGCCATGGGGCTTTGCCTTTAGATTTCTAGCTCCTTGGGGCAGAAACAATGTCAAATCAGTGTGCAGCACCGTGAATGCTAATGAGGCCACAGTGACTGTACACACAGTTAACACAGCTCTTCTAATCCACATCCTTTAAGCACTCTGTAATCCAAACTGCCAAGAATCAAGGGCAGAAGGAGCAGGGATGTCTTGCTCCTTCCATTAGATTTTACAGCTAACAGGGTGCTTTTTCTGGTGTACTGCAGCACATCCAGCTCGTGCCCAGTAATCAAGAGATCTTTCTTCCCTTGTGCAACACATCTTAAATCACTGGCTTCAGTCAGTTCCAATGTGCCACTCCCTGGAAAAAGTTAATAAGACTCCATAAAAACGTTGTATTATTACAACTTCTGGCAGTGACCCATCTATACCAATCACCTCAATACAGGATTTTTGGCAGGTGTTTACACTTAGTTCTCCACTTAAACAGCTCTTTTATTAAGAGTTCACATGTAGTTGCTTGGCATTTCACTTGTGCAAGGATGAACTTGGAACAGACACCTGCTGTCACAGTGGGTGCTGGGCTCAGAGCAGACACAGGGATGGCAGCACCCAGAAATCCCATCCTCCCACCCCAAAGGATGGAGAGCAGGAGATGGTCAGTGGAGCCACATCCCAACCTGACACCATGACTTCAGGCAGGCACCATGGGCAATCCTTCACTGAACACCCCAGGATTTTGGGAGGGGCAGCTGAAGATTGTGTTGCTCAGGAGCCTTCCAGCCTCCCACAGGGCTGAAGCTGAGTGCTCCTGTGCTGCTGAGGTGACCTTTTCTGCTGCCCCGAGTTCATCCTCACAGTTTCGAATGTTAGCACTTTAATATCAGAATCGAACATGAGCCAGCAGTTCAAAGGTGAAAAGCATTTTACAACAGAATGAAAATTCTAACAGTGTTCAGGAGACTCAAAATGATTCATTTCCCAAGGGGAAATTATTGGTATTCCCTTTCCAGAAACTCTGCTGGTATCAGTGTCATTAAAAAGAGGGTGTGGGAAGACAGATAAATAAAGTCTTATAAAGAAAATATGTTCTAACTAGTGGTTATCACCACACTTAATAATTAGGGTACTAATTAAGAGGATAAGTAACACACAGCTATTAGCGTCTAGTAATTTGTGGTTTTTTTCTCTAGATAATAACAAGCTAAAAAGAAAATAAAAAGACCTGAATTCATTTCACCATTCACCCTGTCCACCATGAAAACCTATTACACATATTAAAAATGAGTGCTACAAAGCAACAATTTCAGATTCTGCATATAACTCAGTGTTTAAACATGTGGCTTTTTACATGAACAGACTTTGATGATATCTAATGGGGTTATCTTTACATGCACAAGTCAACTCCTTAAACCATCCAGCCTTAACTCTGGCACACCAGAGATGCACATACAGATGATCCAGAGCTGGGCAGCACAATGCTGCCATAGGAAGGAGAGAGCACTGTGAAATTCTTTCTGAGAGCAATGCAAACATTTTTCAGGGCAGTGCTCTCATAGGTGAGACAACTGGATTTAAATATCTGAAGCTGAATCAGACAGGGAATGAGGCTGAGTTGTTCCATGTCCCTGCCAGGTTGTGCTCAAGGATGATTTCCCCCATGATTTACAGCCTTTCTGTCTGACACAGGATTTCCCTGTCTTCCTCCTCAAACCATGGCCCTGCAAGTGCTGTAAGAAGCAGAGAGCAGTGCCCAGGCCCAGCTGTGTTAAGGCTGGAGGTGGGGGTGATCTCCTGGCAGGACACAGCAGAGGCTGCCCTGCCCCTGCCTTGTGGCTCTGTTTGTGCACTGGGAGCCTCAGTGGTCATCAGATATCAAAAACTGGTAAAGAGCTGAGTTACATTCTCTCTGTTGGCTTTTAACACAAATCTTTGTGTGAGTAGATTAATACTCTCCGATAAGAATATCCATACAACTCCATTAGCTACAGCAAATCAATAATGTAAAATGAACTGTCTTGCTAAAGCACAGTTTTTTCCCAAACAATATGTCAAATTACTGTCTCTGGACACCATGTAGAGGTGTTAGATGCCACTGAAATAGTGTCCTGCCTAGGGTAAAAGAAAACCAGACTAGCTAAGTTACACAGCTGTGATCAAAGACAATTGAAGAAATCATTCCATCTCGTGTTGCTTTTAGATTTACCTGTTTTGTGAATCTTCCCCCACACTGCCAGAAAGCCCAGGAATGGTTCAGTCTCTTCTGTTCTCTGCAGTGACCTGGACTTCTCTTGGCTTTTAGAAAAAACACAACATTTGCAACAATGAAATCAAGAGTTATTATCTGCTAAGCCACATTCCTATGCTCTCATACTTTTCAGTATCATTTTATGAGCAGACATACACACGTGCATACACATTGGTCCCACTGGGGAAACAGGGTTATTTTAAAAAACCACATAACTACAAGCAAATATGAGCTTCTTAGAGTTTTTTTTTTAATTGGTATTAAAAATGCATCAGTTGCTAAATTTAAAATTGTTGGCGAGTAAACAGTAGGTAGCATTATAGAGAGCCACTTCATAAAATTCTAATTATACTTTTCCTATTTGTTGTGACATGCCCTCGCACGGATTATGGGTTTGGAATGGTGCCCAGTCCTCTGCTTTGAAAATGCAAAGTAAGCAGGAGAGGTTTGTGTAACCTCCAGTTGGGTTTGTGAGCGTGGTGAGGACATTTTGTGAGGCTGCTGCCTAAGTGAAGGGAGCTCAGGCTGTGTCACCTGCATCTCCTCTGCTCCCCCCAGAGCCATCAGTGTTTAGCCCCAGTGCATGGGCTGCAAAGTGGAGCCTCTCCAGACCTTGCTGACAGGGCAAGGCACTCCAAAATCATTCATGAAGGGCATTTCTCTCCCAGCAGCCTCCCCTCACTCAGGGCTGTAGGGTCAGTGCAGTTATTCAGTCACTGCCCTGCCCTTTCATGGCACAGCAGTTCCTCTTGGTGCTCCCATCCACTCCCTGCGATGTTGGAGAGAGAAATTCAAATCATCCTTCTCAAGTCTCTCAAGTTCCAAGCAGGAAGCAAGGAAGAGGAAAGCCCCAGTGGGTTTGGGATCATCCAAATCCTCGATGTTCCTTCCAGACGAGCACTTTGTTTTTGTGCCCCAGTGTTCTGTGTCCGAGGGCACAGGGTAGAAGCCTGCCAAGCACATTGCAGAGACAATCTCCCCTCAGCTCTGGGAGCTGGTGGTGGGTGCAGTGCCCTGAGCACGCCCAGGGACAGTGGTGGCTGTGAGGTGGGCAAGAGGGACACCTGTAGCAACAACCACCAGCTTTAACACAGTGCTGTGTACTTCACCTCAAGGCTATTACCATTATCAGCTTAGCCAAATGAATGGAGTAGAAAAACCTTTACAGTTGCCAGAGGATTAATCTTGTGAATGATGCATGGATTTTAGAGAAATGCCTTTGATTTATATAATGCTATACTAGGGGATATAATTTCAATTAGTAATTGCTAATTTTGATTTAGTGTGTTACATACTGGATACAGCAGGTTTATTATGGTTATATTATCTAATTTATTATGATGTATATTTACCTTAATGGGAATATATATTAATCAATATATGCCCTGATTAACTAGGGACTATTAACTATCCTGCAACACTGGATTAACACAATCAAGCCAGTAACACAGAGTATCATCAGATCCTGTGACTGATGCACCTAACTCTGAATTTTACCATGGAATAAATACAAAAACTGGGTAATGATTATCAGATTCATAAATGAATATATCTGTTTTAACAGGCAGCATGTCAGGTGCAGTAGCTAAGCTACTTGCCCACAGAGTCCAATTCCTCTCCAAGTGAATGATTTATATATTTTAATATGAAATGTATCACTCACCAAACAGCTTCTTTCACTATGTGATATATAAATTCCACCTGTCAAGCACATTTTGATATTGTAATATATCCTGTTGTCTTGCTTCTTTCAGGGGAGTCTGTTTCTAATTCGTGACATGTTTCCTGTCTCAGACTGATAGCAGCAGCATCTTTCATAGTGTTACTGTCATGATAGCTACACAAAACCTCTGCTCAGGGCTCTGCATAGAGGTTTGGAAGCAGCTGAGGTGCCCTGGGGACATGGGGACCTGACAGAGATCCCTTTTGTGCTCTGCTCCCGGGCATGCCCCATGCTGCTGCCTGGCAGCACGGGAAGCTGCTAAAAGAATAAGGAATAGGAGCTTTATCCCAAAAACCACTCTTTGCCCCAGTCTCTGATGAAAGGTGTGGAGAGCTGTAAGACTGAGAGAAGGGGGACAGGACCTCTGACCCCTGCCAAAGCCCTTAGGAAGGGCTAAGTTTGTGAGCCTGTTCTACTGTTTTGATTACAAAAACACGTACCAAACTCATGTGGGAATAAGGGCTCTGTTTGGACATTTGGTTTGAAAATACCTGTAAACTCCAGCTGTTTCCCAAAGTTTCAGTGGCACTCTACTGCCTTGATGGATGGTGCTTGTGTGCTGAGAGCTGGGAAAGAACTCGTGAGATTAGGCAGGAACCCCTCAGTGCAGAGACAGGACAAGCATCCCTGGATGCTCCCTCTCCTTCCAGCCTGTGAATTATTTGACACGTGGCAGTCAAAGGAGCAGGACATTCCCAGTGGCAGATGGAAGGAAATCAGCACTGGGCTGTGACAGTCACCACAGCTCCAGTTACTCCTCTAAGGGAAGGGTCATCCCCCTTTGCCATTCTTCCTCTAGGGTTCTGATTCCAGAGCTGAATTTCTCTGCCATCCACATGTCCATCCACAGGAGCTGCAGCCCTCTATGGATGTCCTGCATCTGCAGTTCCCTGGATGGAACTTTCCTCAGTCTGTAATGACTCAAACAACACCCTATGGTCACAAAATCTGCTTGTCTAACTGCTCCTCCAAAACCTCCACAGCCTTCCTCCAGTACTTTGTACTGTCTCAACCCCCAAAAGGCAAGAAACATGCCAAATATCCACCTTGCATTTTCTTTGATGCAAAATTTGCACCTTTTTGTCTTGATCTTATGGAGAAGGAGGCAGAGGACAACAGGGATAGAGTCCCTTCACCTATGGGATGGTGACTGTCAGAGCTGGGACTTTTCCTTCCTCTGCTGAAACTCTGCTTTTGCTCACAGATCTTTGTTTCTGCCCTCTCCTCTTTCTTCCTGCAGGTCATTTTACTTGAGGTGAGAGGGGAGAGCAGACATTTGGCTGAATCACAACATGCAGAGAACTTATGGTACCAAAAAGGGAGAAAGAATTGTCACCTGTAGACATTAGTGATTATAAATCGTGTCAATGGCAAAGGGTCTCAGTCAGTTGAGACCCAAAGCAAGACTCTCAATTCAGCAAAATTAATTGGAAAATTTGGAGAAACAGAGGAGAGGGCAAGCCATCTTTTGATTCCCAAAACCAAACTCCTTAACTTCTCCAAGGCAGATCTAGAAAAGAAAAAATGCATTAATCAACTGGATTTACAGGGAGGAGTGTGCCAAAAGAGCCACTATTTGCAGAGTAAGCAAAAGCATAAGAAGAGCATATGCAGCAGAGGAAAACAGAGCCTAGTTCCAGCAATTGAAAAAAACCACCAAAATAAAACAACCCCAGAGTAAAGATCTGAAAACCATGTGCAGGTTTCTAGGTAACCAGCCCAATTCTTCTGATGCATCGAGGGCTGACTAGTTCCCACTGAAATCAGTAAGGGGCAGTTGATTGCCTGGTACATTTGAAAATCAGACCAATCCTCCAGGTGCATGAGCAACACGATCTGAAATGCCTGATTGGGCCCCATTTGAATTCTGATACACAGCCTGATCCCATCTGAGCCTCAGCACAGCACTGTGCCTGGTGTTCACAAACTTGTCTCTCAACATGCACATCCTCTGCAAGGATGAAAGCAGAACCTTCCTGCCACAGTCAGACCAGGGATGGAAACCTCTCTTTCCATCACCACGTTCCACCCCCCCTTATGAAACTGAATAGATCAGCTGCAATTATGGAAAGGAAAGCCTTTCATGGGTGCTGCAGCACATCAAACACTGCATGTCATATAATGCAGAGATAAAGCAATGGAAGTGTAAATTTACAGGTAAATAAAACCTGCAAGTAATTGTGATCTGTCCTAATCTACTCACAGGAGACAGTGAGAAAAAGGTGAGGAAAGGGTGAGACAAAATAAATAAAAGCCTGACAGAATATATTTCCTAATTTAAAACATTCTCCAAATATTGAAGTTTTATCTTTCCAGTGCTGGCTATTGCTGTGCTTCAGTGAGCACTTTGCATTTGGGGCAGGTTCTCTGCTCACCCTTCTTCCCTTTATTCCCATTTGGTGCCCAGTGGCTGCTTGGGAATTGTGCTGTGTCCTTCCACAAGCACCTTCCCACCTGAGGCAAGCTCTGGCACCCACAGGCAGTGATTTACTGCTGAATCACACAACAAAACTGGCTATATCCTTTATAAATTCATAAATCCCAAGTAGGACAGTTTTCCCATTATGGCTCAGCTTTGTTTCAGTGTGTAACCCCCATTGCTGAAGGAGACACAATAAATCCTGGGGCTGTGAAATCCATTGTATTTATATATGAGGCTGCTTTTTGGTCTCCATTTCCCAGTCACAAATAAACTGAGATCTTTTGAGTTTGCCATGGGGGTATTTATAGATTGCAAATGGTGCCACATAAAATCAATTGGCTCCTATATTTTCTTTGGGACATTTTATTGTTTCCTGTAAGTCAATTAATATTTTTCCCATCCTACAGACTCTTTTCCATGTGGAAAAAGCCTGATCTTAGATTTTCTTCATACTCTTACTTTATACTTATAAGGCTGTGATTTATGCATGCACAGTCCTGCCCTTCTTGCAGCAGAAAGAAGCAGTACAAGAAACTATTTTTCTTATAATAAAATGGTTTTTTGTTTGTCACTTTTCTGTCTTCTACCTTCTAATGCTTCTCCTTGCAGTTACTTGGATAACATAATCACAGAAATTCCTATTATGTATTTATAACAATGATCAGTCCAAGTGTTTTTGAGAGTTTTGGGCAGCACCATTGTATCCAGAGGTGTTAGACACAGTCCCATCACAAAATGAGTATTTTCCCGAGTCCAGTCACCACACAGTATAAACCTGCAGGTTTTACAGGAGCTGCAGCCACATCCTCTGCTCCCCAACAGTGAAATATCAATAATCTTAAAGAACCACAAGAGGGAACAGCTCCCATTACAAAATCACTCAAAAAGTGAAGAAGAAAACAAAGCCCATTAAACTCACCCAAGCTGTGTGTGAACTGTGTGAAGGGAACTTCTCTCTTTCCAGACCAAATCAACAAGGTGTGCTGGGGAATGGAATCATTCTGTACATTTAAAAGCAGAAAAAGGATATAAAAACCAACACAGATTGTGTCAGTAGTTAATTTGATGGAAACAACAGCAAAGTAAACGAATATCTTTTCTTCTTTTACCTCCTGCCAGTTGTGTCTTTAGACACAATTCAGAAGAGAGGATCTCCCTGTCTATAGAGGGTACTCTGGGGTTCAGCCAGATATCAGTGTCAGGTACTGTGCATGGACTGCTCTGTGGTAGTGTGGGACACGCACAAGCTCCTGAAGAACAAAAACCCCCTCAAACTTCTCTTTCTTTGTCCTTCCCTGGTGTGGCTCTGCTGCCCAAAGGGCACATCAGAATTTTCTCTAAGTTCAGCTCCATACCTGGGCAGTTGTGCAGCAATTCTGCCAACTACAGCAGGACTAATTCACTGAGTGCTGATGAAAATCTCAAGTGTTTGAAAAGCACTTTTTTTTTTTTATTCACATGCTCAAAATTGAAATAAAGGTCAAGGATTTTTTTTCTGTTAAAGTAAATGCATTTATACTAAAATACTTGAAAAAATTTTGCTTACTGCTGAAACAGCTTTATGTTCAAATTACTAAAATATGAGAAATGAGTTGCTGAATAACGTAGCTTATCCTTACTCTTTGACTTATTTACTACTTTTCTGCAGTACTTTTTCAACCTTACAAGTAGTGCTGTAATTCTCTGCAATCATATTTCTACATGTGAATTTTGGTGTGGAGATTTTGCCTTTTCTGTATATAGGTTTGAGCAGGATGTCTGAAGAATATGTAGAGCACCAGCACAGCTGTATCTGGTAAAAAAGAAGGCAAAAAGCACTATAATTTCTTCTGCATCCATCAACCAGAGGTGCTCATTATACAGAACATCAGTGACAAGAGCAGGAGTGCAGGGTGCAGTATGTGCTCAGGTTAAGGGAGAAGTGATTAATATGTTTTTGCAGTCAGATTCTGACTGGTTTGAAGCTCTAGTAATCTTCTGGAATTTGATTAATCTTTTCATTTCTAGAGCAGTGACTGTAAAGATCAGAATTTAGACAGGACTACAAATGATGCAAGATTAGCAGGCCTTGAACTCCTCATACAAAGGATATGAAGCTGCTAACAGGGTATAAATAGGTGTAGCCACACAGGAGGCTGAGGAAGGCTAAAGATGCTGATCATACATCCAGGCTCCAAGAGATCATTCCATAGCAGAGAGGTGTAGAGGGCTCTGCTTACCTGACCACAGATTCCCAGCTCTGCATTGGGAAACACAGCAGGAATAAAGGGGAAAAATAATAAAAGGAAGTTAAAATAATGGTTTGATTTACCAGCTGGTGCTTTGTGCTGTAGACAATACAGTTGTGCTGTAGATTAGTTCAGCCCAGGACATAACCTGCAGGGGAAGTCACAGGAGATTGCTCAGGAGCTGATTTGCTCAGAGTCAGGAATACCAGCCAGGAATACCTGGACACACTGCATCCCTTTCTGAAACATCAGTGGCCTCTAGGAGAGTTGTTCTGACTCCCAGGACTGCCTCCCACCCCACATCTGCATCCCCTCTGTGTCCCAGCACTTCAGCCACCACCCAAAACGTCCAGGCCAGCTCTTCCTTTTAGATTCCTGCTTCTCTCCCAAGTGCACACACAAACATGCAGACAGCATGGGCTCAGCACCTCTGCCTCCCCTTTATCCTCTGCCTCTCCAGCTGCCAGGGCATCTCCAGCTGTAGCAGGCACAGTGTCTGGATTCTAGGACCAAAATTGTAGGACCAAAAAGGGCAGGCAAGGAGAATACAGTTAGAATTTCAGACTTGCTTTTTAGCCACATCCTTCCCAGAGACAGTGCAAGCACCTTCAGGTCTCCTAATTGTAGACCTAAATACCCTGACCTCACCTCCCAATTGTCAAGTGAAATTAGTTATTCTGTAAAGCTCAAAAATGCAGCGATCAGACTGAACTCACTTTTAAAGTCCCTGCTAGCAACTGATCTCTGCAGGACAAGTGCAGTGTTTCCCTCTGATTTTCAGGTGTCTGTAGAGTACAACAATAGCAGCTGCAAGGCTCGGGTGCTTTGTACCAAAAATACTTTGCCCATGCGCTGTCGTGTCCAGCTCACACAGAAACCCCATCTTTAGAGAAAGATGTTTTGATAAAGAGGCAAAAGGATCTGCTGCAGGTAGAGAAACACTGCTGGAAACGTGGGGAGATGAGAGAGCCAAGCCCCTGGAGCCACAGTGCTGTGTTTGGAGCACAACATCCGTGCTCCAGGGATGCGGGAAAAGGCTGCTGCCCCTGCCCTGCCTCGGAGCAGCTGGGTGGAACACCAACCTTTCTTTTCATAGGACAAAAAATTAGGTCAAAACTTTCTAGGAAATTTCTGCTGCCTGTTTTAGAACGTGGTTCAAAAGATGAAAGGAGAGGAATTCTACAGAACCCCGTGTGCAACCTCGTGTGGAAGCGAGGCATTAAACGGGAAGAAATCCTGTGCCTGAGCTGACAGCCAGGGGCTTACCTGCAACAAAACCTCTGCAGCAGCACCAGGGAAGGCAGAGAGAGCACAAAACCTGAAAGCAGCCCTTCCATCAGCACCTGCCCCAAGGACAGAAACAGCACTCATTCCATCAGCGCTGCGGAATCGTTCCTGGCTGCAAATAGCCTCTTCAGGCTTTTACCAACAGCAACAAATCTTCCCCGAGCGGAGCAGTCTTCATCGCTAGTTAGGGCTCCTCACTCGTGTTCAGTATTGAATTGTTCTCCCTTCCAAAGCGCTGTTTTTATTAGGTGATCTCTTCCTTGAGAGAAAAAAAAAAACAAACCCAAACACACTTAGGGCCAGATTTAAAAAACCTATTAGATTTCAGCTTAATTTAAATGCATAACAGCAGGCAACTCAGCCTAATTCTCCACTTGAGCACACAGTCTCCTGATTTATACACACAAGTGGAATAGCTTTTGCAGATGCATATTTTGCCTTTTGCTTTATCCTCCTTGTTTTTTAATAACTTACCTTTACTTATGATTTTCTTAATTCAGACTTAAATTAGACAAATAATCATTTGGGACGCAGCCCGCATTGACCAATTTCCTCGAGTGGCTTTGAAAATGGAATTCACTGGATTTCTTTTATCCCAAGTCACCCTGTGGTGTTTTGGGGCAGCCCTACCTTAGAGAGGGGAACCTGAGCCTTGCTGTGAGTCATGGGGGCGAGGGAAAAGCAGAGGGTTTAACTCCACATTTCTTAAACTCCTCCCAAACTCCCAGGAGGAACAACTGAATTGCACACTACGACTTTGATCACTGATAAATCCTCTTGCAATTTTTACACTGATGTCTCTTTTGATTTGTGAAGTCACTTGTCTGTTGACACTTGATTGAATTAACTACTCTAGAAGAGCATTTCTGTCCCAGAGCAGGGAAGGGGGTTTTAACTCTTTTTTGATGGCTGTAGTTGAAACAAGTGGTTTGACATGAGGCTCATCTCTACATGATGGATAGATTTTAAAACATTCAAAAAACAACTTTCTTCAGAAGATTCAAAAGTCACAAAGAACTCCTTGATCAATGAACAGTGGGTATTTTTGCACAGAGGAGAGTACTGGGTTGCAGGATGCAATATAAGATAAATATCCCAAGCATATAATTACCACTGATTGTAATTTCTGGTGCGATATAGCTTGGCTAACATCAGTTCCCAAAACATTTCCACCTGATCAAGCAGCTCTTTCTAAAAGGACACCAGAATGTGGAAACTCAACAACTGATCCTTGAAAGTATCCTTAGAAGACATATCCTTGTGGGTTGAACTCTTAATTACCATAGTGTTACTTTCTTGATGCCTCAAAATATCAGAATTTCAACATGTACCCATGTAAAATCATGCTTTTAAAGTTTTTATTTCAGTCAATATTGTATTACCTCTTAAGACATGAGCTGTCCTCCATCATTAATAATTTTTTGGGTTTCTTCTGGCATTGATTCCCTGATATTTTTTTCTTCCTTTTTTGGTTCACAGCTCACTCTCAAGGCCAAAACTCCACAGGCAAGATTTCTATCAATTTTAGTTGGAGTCTCACCTGATTAGAAGCTGCAGCAAAAAGTTTTATGATCACACACAGAGCCTGAGGTTTTGGCTTTTCCTGACGTGTTTTTCCAGATTTGATTTCAGTCCAAAGTGTGTATTTCTGGTTGGAATTAAAACCCAGTTAATTTTCAAAATTCCCTGTAAAGGAGAAGACATTGAAATAAAAATGGTAAAAACAATCCCCCCAGATTAATATTGAGGTAATTTGAAACAGCTTTTTATTTAATTGTTTATGTTTCTTGTTTGACCTGACTGTATGACACAGCAGGAACAGCATTACTTTCTAATAACAGCATTAATCACAGAATAAAAATATTTCTTGGTAATGTACAACAGTTCTTCTGAGCTGAAAATAAAAAGTAATGTTCATCTGCCTATAAGGTTTAAAGTAAATAAAAATTAAATACACTGTTGGGATTACAGCATGGGAGATGATTGGAAATACTGGCGTGATTTGACATGTAACAGCCCACTTTGCTGGTATATTAGCAGGCTGTGAAATCATATAAAAATAGGAAAAAAGAAGAAAAAATAATGAGTTAAAAAAACCCTCACTTTTTGATCTTTTCTCCAAAAGAGACTTTCTGTTCTGCATTTTGTCCCACACCACTTTTAGTGTTGTTGAGAAGGAGCCTTTTCAGCAACAGCACTAATTAGTGTTGTGATTTAACCTGGCAGCAGCCAAACACCACAGAGCCCACCACAGGATGGGGAGAGAGGTGAAAGAGTTTTCTATTTAATAGGTCAGAAAAGGAAAGAAAGCCAATAATAATGATAAAAAAATATACCAAACAAGTGGTGCCAGTGTAATCCCACACCACCTCCTGGCCAATGCCTGGCCATCCCACTGGCCAACTCCCCCTTTTTTTGTTCAGCATATCCCTTTTATTTTTTGTTTGTTTGTTCAGAACACTTGCACAACAATTTTATTTCACAGGCTCTTGAAGTGTTTAAACGTTCTAAAGGTGACACCAAGGTCAGTTGTTTCCTGGTTCTGATATAAGAAGGGAGGTTCCAGGAGCCAGACTCACCTGGCCATGAGCTGAGGGCACGTGCAGGAGGATGCCAAGGAGCTGAAGGAGCCAATTTGGACAATCATTCCCCACCTGCACTGACCAAAGGCTCCAGCACCACGGGAATAAAGTTCTCTCAGCCTGAACTGCCACTTCACAAGGAGCCAACAGCAGGGAATCAATCCAGAATATTTCTGTAGGATAAAAAGGAAACAGACTCTTTCAAAACCATTGCATTCTGTCTCATGTCAGAGACACTTCATCAATGCTTTGCAAAAGCACACCAAGTAATTTGGTTTGAAAAGCACCACATTAGTACATTTTGGCTTTCAAACACGCTTTTTCCCCAAAATGATCATTTTTATGCATTCAAATACTTCAAAGGGAAAGATTAGAAGAAATAACTCTTCTTATCCATCCCCTATTTCATGTATCATCAGGATAGTGATCTTTAATACCAAATGCAACTTGGACTTCAGTCAGCACTGAGGCAAATGAGTATTTTCTGCTGAGCAACTTCATTCATCAGCAGCTCCCCTGTTCCATTTGGAAGCTCCTGGCCCAGGCACTGCTCCTGCCTGGAGCCTGCTTAGTGCATTCACCCTGGCAGGAGGCACATGGCCAAAGGTCCTCAGCAATGCAAATTGCTCAGGAGCTTTTAATGCAAATAAGAAGAGGTCAGTCAAAATAAGCACACAGAGGAAACTAATTGGAAGTGAAATATGGACTCAAGTGATAAAATGTAGCTCAATTTTATACAGCTCAATGGTCACATGCATTTACTTCTAACATCCAAGAACAACAGTATGAAAACAGCAGCCTAAGAAACTGGTTCACACTTTTCCTTCTGTCTGTAGTGATACCTTTCAAGCACACATATCTCAGGTGGGTAACATTATTTCTTGAATAATTTCACCATAACTTCAAGAGATTTTCTTTAATTAACATCACAGTCATATAGGCATCATTGACTAAAGTAACCTGTTAGCCTGCAAAACCTGGACACACTTTAGAGATGAGATTTTTCAGACACAATGACAGTTTTTAAAATTTGGAAAAAAAAATACCAAAAAGCCCATACAAAAAACTCCACAAACATTGTGAGGATGAGGGCAAGCAAGCTCACACGGTGCTCTATTTCCAGTTTAGGACTCAGGTGGAGCATACAGATACTATAAATTAGGAATTTTAATAGGACGAGTTGTTTTAAAGGTTTACAAATTTTGCAGTGAACCTTCCCAAAAGTGAACCCGTGTTCCTTGAATGGATGGAGAAAATTGGAACTGCCAGCTCCTGCCCAGTCTGAAGGCACAGAGAGCAACAAAAGCTGCACCACTGAGCTGCAGGGCTTTCACCTCCCTCCAAGGCCTGCAAGAATAAGAGAAGTGACCAGCCATAATATTGTGAATTTTTCAGAAATTCAGGAAATTAATTCAAACCTAAATGCAGACCTCTGTTTCACAGCAGACCCACATCTATTTTAGAGCCCTATCTAAGGCATAAAATTCTTTTATACAACTGAAATGCTGTAAGGGAAGCTGCTGCCCAGAGTGCCCCTGCCCTTCCAGCAGCCTCTTCTCCCTGCCTCAGCCTTCCTGTACAATTAAAAGGAATGACCAGACTGGAGCAATGCTGGGGCACAGAGAGGAACCACCCCAGTGTTCTGCTAATAAGTCGTGAGCTGACCTTCCTGCAGGTACACATGTAGCTGTTAAATAAAGAAAATAAGAGCACCAGGCTGGCAGAGCTCTCCTTTGGAGAGGTCACAAAGCACTCGCCTTTCCAGCAGGTGAAAATCACAGCAGAAGGGGGCTCAGCACTTGCACAAACACCAACTGATAGTGGGGAATGTATAAGCATCTGTTTCCATAAGCCAGATAATTGGGTCCTTGGGAAGCAATCTAACAAGAGGAAGAAAATCTTTAGAATTCAGATTTTGTTTAAAGCTGCTCACTTTTTGCCAGCAATCGTTTTATACAAGAGCAGGGACTAAGTACAGATGCAATTGTGGTTGTCCTGTCAAGGAACCTTCTGTATTTCCTGGGTCCTGTTCCTCTCTAAGGGGCATAATTTCCCAGAGATCATGGTGTCAGAGCACTAGCACTTTTTCCTGTAATCTTTTTACCACCTCTTCTTTCTCCCTGCACCCACTGAAATCTGTGTGAACACCTAAAAATACATGTGACTTGGCAGATCTTTGCTGGGGCTCCTCACATATCAGCAGTCTGCCTAAGGCATTGTGTCCAAAAGCTGAACGTCATTATAAGTTATCCAACTAGCTGGTAAAATGTTACTTCATTTTTGTTTCCATGCATTGATTTCCCCCTTGATGTGACAGCCCAGTCTCCCACTCCCTCACTGTCAGCCCCTGCTTTCCTTTGATGCTGACACTCATTCAGTCTTCTCAATGCACACCGTCCTCAGCACTAAGTGTACTCTTGCTGTGGGTTTGGCATGCTGGAATTGCTCAGGAAAATTTTTTTTAGTTTAAAAATAACCTAAAGTATTTCTTCATTATTTAAGGAAATCACTTCCCCTTGGAGAATGACAATGTGCTGTCTTTTATATGTACACACTACATTGCAAACAAATACCTTGTGTGTATTTATATTATATATATCTGTATTTTATGCTTTTTATAAATATAAAGGCAGAATCTTCAGTGACCACATGCAGTCACCAGGAACCCCTGAGCACCCACCAGAAATCTGCACTCAGCTGCTTGCCCAAGTTCCAGTAAGGTAACGTCCACCTGTATCCCTGATGTCTCTAAAATTCCCCAGAAGAAAAGATGTGATTTTCTTCCCCAGCTAAAGTGCCCGTCCAGCTCAAGGCACGTATTTTTGCTGGGATTCAAGCTGGCAAACAAGGAGCCACTGAAAGTCACCTGCAGGTGATTGCATCTTAAAGGAAAATCAGCATTTATAGACTGAACGTAGCGTATTTGTTTGATTTGATGTCTCAATTCTTTGCAGAAAACTGGGACTGTTTAAAGCCCTGATGCTTTGATTGCTAGGGCTGACTGTTCTCTGTATTGTGAAGTTGGTCTGATGCATTAAAGCATCACACCCAGACTTTGGATGATGAGTTTTCTGTTAGAGACTGACGTGCCTTCTTTGAGCCTTGTATCTAAATAAAGCTTTTGAAAGGGTCTTTCTTTCTACACTCCAGCAATCCCAGCCCAGCCATTCACCAAATATTTAAAGCTGTCCTCACTCTTTACACAAGACAAAGGGTATGGGCGTCTGAAAACCAGACTCACTTTGGCTGCTGAGTTCAATTACTCAATTACCACTGTGAAAGCACCAACATCACATGCTGTCTTTAAACTCAAAATAAAATAAAAAGCCCAACATCAACAACCCCAAACATTTAAAGGAGGAGCAGGTAGTTCCACTCCCATTGCCCACCCTGACACACCTTAAAAAGCTTCATTTTCTCAGGATAAACACTGAGTCTGTTTCAGATTATTAACTCCTTTATATTACATTTTCTAAATTTTCTGTAACATTCAGAAATCTTTCTTAAGGAAATAAGTAAATTGATCTTTTTCTTATAATACCTACTTGAGGTGAGTTCTGATCACTCTCTGGTCCTTAAGGGGCACTTGCCACATGTAGTGTGAACTCCTACACATCCTCTTCAAAACTGTGAAAGAAAAACCAGTTCAGATATGGCTGGGCAGTGAATGTGACTGGTTTCCAATCACAGTAAGTGTGATTAGAAGCAATGGTTTAAGTAACTGTCAGATCTGAACAGCACCTTAATGGAAGTTGACTACAAAACATATCTTCATTAAACAATAATCTGACCCCAAAACAGAACTATTCAACATTTCTCTCTGCCACCACTGTCAAAATTTTAGGTTGCTTCTTGACAAATATGGATGAATGTCTAAAAAATTTCCCTTAATGGTTTGGGGGGGTTTTGGGTTATGATTCTGGAATCACTTAGCACTTAAAAAACACTTGATTAGAATTTTAAAAATGAGTCAAGTTTACCTGGTATTAAACCTTTAGGAATTTTTAAGAAGAGGGTACCATATATTAGACAACTTGAATTTTGTGTGTGGGAGTATTGCATCACCCCCTGTTTGCATTTCCCAAATGTGATGTGCTTACTAATACTTTTGTTTGACCTGTAGCTACAGGTTGTTAAGGAAGAGGAAATGGCAACTGTCAGGAAACAGGAGAAAATTCCAGTGCAATCACAGTAACCCACTCCTGGTGCCTTTCCCTTACACAAAACCAAGCAAGGATGGGCACTGGAGTCAGGCTGTCAGGACAGCCCTCTGACAGGTCTTACAGTCTGGACCTGGTATTTACTTTAATTCAATTTGGCATCAGCTATGTGGGATTTGGCATGGTAGAAAAATCGCAGGTTTTATAAGATTTTTTACAAGGAAATGCTTTACTGTGCAGAGAGAGAGTGAACAAGAGTTTCTGTCACTGCTGCTGGCAACAGAGTCCAGCAAAGGTTGTGTTTGACAGCAAAAGAGATTTCTGTAGTGGCCCTTTCAGCCTAAGGAAAATGATATTAAAGTCTAAACCAAAGGACTGAGGGTCAGATTGCAAAAGAGCTGATATTCCTAATGGTAAACAGATTTTAGGAGTGCTCCATCTATATGGGCTGAGTACTTCTCAGTCTCTGACCACAAAACCAAACATTAAACTTTTTTTAAAACCTCTGATGCTTCAAGCCATGCTACAGGCTATATTAAAAAATCTTTTTAATATTTCAGGGTTTTCCTCAGTGCCAAGCTATTAAATGTGTAGACTGATTTCCTTAGAGCAAAATCCTTCCCCAAAAACCTGGACAGAATGTCAGTCAAATAGTTAATTACTAACCAAAAAAAAAAAAGTCCCAGTAATTGACTGCATGGATTTTAATTTTATGAGATAGCCTTATCCTTGTGAAAACTCTCCAAGCTGAGGCTGGAGAACAATGGCTCCCTGAACACAAAAGCAGTTCCCAAATCACAGCAGAGATGGTAAGGTTGAACTTGACCTCATTTGCTCCAGTAAAAACTCAGGTTATGTCCATAAAATGAGCAAGAAGGAGGTTACAAAAGAGGTGACAATGAGAAGAGAAGGGTCTTTTTGAGGGGAATTTGCAAAAAGCTACAGCTAAAACTACATTGGGCTTTTCAGCAGCAATGCTCTCTAGGAGGTAAACAGTTTAGCAGACTGCCAGCTACAAAACCTCACTACAAAATCACCTTAAAAGTGATTATTAGGCAGATTTCTTGCATATTATTTCTTCCCTGCCCAGCAGTAATTAGTCTCAAACAGGGAATGGTGCCAATGCAAGACCTCCACACCAGGTGACAGGTATTCCCACAAAGAATGGCAGTGCCCATTGTCAACATTTTATCTCAAGTTTCATGCCTGGATTTTTTTTTCTAGAGGCTCTGCATTTACATAAGAATCGCCAGGAGAGTATTTTAAAACTATTATTAAGGCTCAGAGTTGTAGGGGAAAGCTCTGAAGTGCAACACAGAATAAAAGCTGCATTGCCAGTGCTCAAAGCCCAAAATGACTTAAAGGGCCCCACCAGCCCCTTGCTGTGCATCAATTCAGTGTCACCTCTCTTTTCTCACAGACATCATTTTAGAAGTGGTAAAAAGTTGTGCCTTTGCCCAGATGTCCATAAAGCAAACTCAGGTGCCCCTCAAAAGGTGCCTGTGGGGACCTTACCCAGAGGCTGGACAAGCTGAAGCAGCAATTAGTAGAAGCAGCACAATATTTTTAGATTTTTGCTGGTCCCAGCAACATGCAGCTTCAAAAGTGAGAGGCTGTTTATCCCCTCTTGGTTATGCTCTTTAGCTCAGCATGGGGTTTGATTGTTTCCTGAACAATTCGACACACATCCATGAGTTAAAAATAGCAAACAACACATCCATTTTTCCTAGCAATACTGCACATACAGAATATTTGAATTCTGTGCAGTGATAGGCTAAGTCTGCACCCTGTTCTGTGCTGGACTGTGAGTAATTTTGCCTGATTTGTTTTTTTTTCCCCTTTTATTGCAAACGAACTACTAAAAGACATTCATATTTTACTGCATAGGTGTCCCTCTGTATTCAGTATAGCACACCCCAAACCTGTGGATGAAAGGCTCAACAGATACAGTGTTGTCTGAACTAAGTGAAAAGCTAAACAATTCATAAATAAACAATTAATAAACAATTCTCAGTGCTGATGTGACTGATATAGAGATGTTCTCTGCACTGGAAGAGAAGATGTTCTCTTCATGTGGAAGCTCACAGTAATAAAATTTATACCTATGCTACATAGCAGCAGCAAGAGAAATGGCATGAGGCTGACAAGTGGCAGGTTTGACTGCAGCTCAGTTACTTCATTAAAACAACTGTTAATTTAAACTGAAAGGAAAATCCATTCTTTTGGCTGCCCACCAGAAGTGCTTCCCACAAAAGGGAAGAAGCAGCAGCTCTGCTCATCAGTTCAAAAGTTCATTTGAATGATGTACAGGAGAACACTAGCACAGGGAAATGCAAACTTTTATAAACCCTGTTTATAGCTGCTTCTACAACTGGAGTCCATTAGGCAAAGACTGACATGATTATTTTAAACCCCTAAGAAAATTTTCAGCAGAACATCTTGAACAGATCACTTGAAATTGTGTTCACAACTCTTGTGGCTCACACTGCCATCCTGGTGGTTTTGCAGTCCTGTACTTCATGTCACCATTCTCCTGCATGACCAAGCTATATATTTTAGGTAGTAAAACAGGTAATAGTTCCCATCTGCTGGCCACTGCAGATGGAGTATTTAGAGAGCTCCCTGTAACAGTTTACCATAGCACATGCAGTTTGGACATCAACACTTGCTCAGGCAAGAGACTGAAGGCAGAGAAACTCCCCACTGATTCCCAGAGGTGCTCCCTAAGTGCTCTGCCAGCATATCCAAATTAAAAGTTTTCAATTTGTGGATGAAAACAACATATTTAGAAGAAGGACAAGGAAAAACCCCTAACAAAATCCCACTGTAACATTCAAGAAAGGACATTTTTTGACCTTTGATTTTGAAGAGTTCACACCACCAGTATCTACCACAACCCCCCTGAAAGCTACTCTGTAGCTGTAAATTAGAATGTAGGAAAAAAAATCCTTCTTATTCATCCTCACATACACACAGAGGCTCTAAAGTGGAGGCAGAGATCTCACAGACAGGGTTTATTCCCCGATTCATCTGACACACGCAGCAAAGGAGCAGAGATCCCATGGAGGAAACAGCAGAGACTGTAGGACAGGGCTACCAGAGGATGATCTCCACATGCCAGCACAGAGCAGTTTAGGAAATAAACCAGAGCTTTTCACAGAGCTGTTCACACACAGCTACACTCAGCTGAATTGAAGCACGTGTGAACAGCAGTTGAGTGCTCCAACCTTTCTCAAGCTGGACAGAGATTGCAGGAGAAAGAGTGACTCGATTATCCAAAGGCAGCTCTTGGCAGGGCTGAGCTTCCCATCAGAGGGATTAGATAGGCAGGAGGAAAGCAGTGTAGCAAAGAAAAATAAAATGAAAGGAAACGGAGATGAAACAAGATTCTCCTATTGATTCGCACTGAAAGATGAATTACTTATTATCACTGCAGTTGTAAATGAAAGCAGTGCCAAAAGGGTGTTGCTTCTGTAAGAAACCAAATTAGATATATTTTCTTCCTTGCTTTGTGAGGAGGATGTGCATGACTTCAGAAAGTTACTACAGCAGGAGCTGAAAAACAAATAAAACAAAATAAATGCATCCTGCACAGGACACATTTGGGTGTATGAACACATTCCATATTCATTGCACATGAGAGTGTTTGACTCCAGCAGACCTACAGCCAGAGCCATGCACTGCTCACAGCCCAGGGCACAGCAATATTGCCACACACAAACAGGACTTCCAACAGCAACCAGCCAAGCTGGCACCTCATATTCCTGACTGTTGGTAGGTGCTGAACCTTGTCCTTGCACAGAACACCTGCCCTGGGAAGCTGCCAGTGTGACACCCCGAGGTGAACCAAGTGTGCAAGATCTTAACCCTGACCTCTGAAATCACGGGCAGGCTCCTCTGTGGGCTACACGAGACCACGAGGGGAACAAATTCTGCATCATCCACAGGGCCAGTGCCAGGGGAGGATTCTCCCCTGTCTCCCCTTGATCTGCTGCTTACTCCAGCACTGCTGCTCTGCTCTGTCATTGCTCCTGCATGGCTTTTCATTGGTGAAGCCACACATTTTAGTGGTCCTGAATCCCACTCACAGGACACATTGCACCCTCACAAATGACCCAACACTTTGGTGCTGAGGAGCCTTCCTGTGGCTGAGAGAAAGCCCAGCTGATGGAGAGGGGACTTCCTGCATTCCACAAGAGAAAAGAAGTTTCTAACCCAGAACTACAAGATAATGGACTTCAAAGCAGTGGGGTTTATGCATGGAAAACCTGTCACTGGTGCAGGACTGAAACCTGCTTATCTTGCCTTTCACATGGTGTAATTTAACAGGGCCTGTAGCACATCTAAAGGGAAGGAGATGGAAATGCATCTAACTGTACTGAACTTATTTACTTATTTTTAAATAGTGGCAGGACTTACTCTCTTCAGCTCGTGAGCAGCCCCTGTAGAAGTAGATAGT